TACAAATACAATAAATATATAAACATAAAATTAGTAAACTACAGATTTGCATACACATTAAACATATTCATGATTTATATTTGTACAGCATATTCCGTCAATATAAAAGTCAAGATATCAATGTCTTCTTCTCTCTCCACTTCTTTTTTCACTCTATGGAATGACGACAAGACAGTTCTATTTACACCATTATTCATCTGTTCATAAGTCCTTCAAAGCTTCCGTTCTTCTTACCCTCCTCAGACACACAGCTTCAATACTCTCCAAATTTCCAAATAATCTTATTGGTGCATAAATTTTATCTTTACATATGAATTGATCAGCAAGCAATTATTCTGAAGCATACATGCAAGTTTATGTATGAAAATGTACAATTTATAAGAGAATTAAGTATAGAAAATTGTTACTTGTGTTATGCGACGTCATATTTATCCTGAATGATTTAAACCGAATTTTGCAATTATAAAAGTTTTAATGTACTTTTTTGGGGAGATGCATCGACATGCTTAATTCTTTCAGTTAAAAGATAGCATTACCGGTAGTACCGTGTTGTTTTGAAAATTGAAGAATCACTCTTTAAAATTCTGCAAGTCGGCAGAACAGGCAATGTATTGTAGTATCAAATAAAATTCCTCCGAGATATGCAGATAAGAACTATTATCTGGCAATAGGACCAGTACAATGCATTCACGTGTACTTGTCTCTCTTTTAAGGACCTCATGAAAATTCATGACTCATAGAAGTTGCTGTTGTTATTACAGCTTCGCAAAACTCTTTTTTTTTCAAATACAATTTCTATAGATCTCTTGACCTAGGAAATTTGCTTCTCTTCTTTGGGCAAACTATTTCAAATCTCTGTAGTTTCATTGTTTTTATTGAACACTTTTTTGAATGGATTTCATACAAAAGTTTTATAGCATAAAATAAGGAAATGAATCTTGAAAAACTTTCAATTTTCTTTGAATCAGCAAATTTGACATAAAATTTTTAAAAATGCACCCCCTCTAAAAAGTGAACATAAAATCAATGAAACAACATATGATTTATTGAAAATAACTGTGATTACCCATAGTGGATGTATACCTACAACATTTCAAGTAAACTTCTATTTTGACAGCAGCTGACATTTTCAAATTTTAACACAATTTTTGAGTTATGAAAAAGCTTGCAAAGATAAGAAAATTTAGATAAAATGATTCTTTATACAATTTTTATATTATTTTAATATCAATCTAATATTGGCACCACAGTTACCATTCTTTAATTACCCAGAATATATAGAAAAAATTTATTCTTGTTTATGCTCATTCCATGATGAATGATTGAATCCTATTCATATATAAGCTTGTAACAGTAAACACTTCACTCCATCCTTTTCAAAAACCAAGTATACACTTCCATATGCTTCTCACTGCTCAGTTCACCAACAATTTGTGCCACATGTATAATTGTTATTACACGCCTTGCCCCTTGCAATGAGGGCGATGAAATATTTAATACAGGAAGCAAGTTTTTTTTTCCTTTCAGAAATGTTCAATATGGAAGGCAAACAGATATATCCTCTCATAAAAGTTTTTGTATTTATTTGTTAAACATCCCTTTTTGACTTTTGAGAATTGTTCACTCATATGGAAATGCCACCACTTGTCAGTGGAGGCTGCAAATTTAGACTTATAAAAGATTCCTCAATGCTATGGAGCAGTGAGGAATCTTTTATCAAGCTAGGACCTATCTGCAGCACAGGGCCTGAGTTTATATGGACTCATCCATAACATCTGCCCCATGTCTTGTGACTTAGGAGCACATACTCTAACCACTGCTCCACATGGGCAACTAAAAGCTTTTGTTAAGAGCTAGGCTAAATCAAGGTGCTTCCAAATCCATATTTGCAAAAGAAGTTGGCACTTGTACATTGAAACCAACAATGTATGTCTTTGCTAAATGAAAGTCAAGACAAATTCACATATTTATTGAATAGTTCATTATGTGCACATAGTTCAGTTTTCCTTACAGCAATCTCACTAGGTAACAAAATTGCCGATTACTCAGAGTATGTGTACTTGAATATTTTCCAAACCGAATTTTACTCTTTATATATCAAACAGTCTCTCTACTTTCCAAACCGAATCTGGCTTCATTACATAGCGAACAGTCTCTTTACATTTCAAACCGAATTTAGGCTCCTTATATAGCGAACAGTCTCTGTACTTTCAATATATCGAACAGTCTCTACTTTTAATGAAGATATTACATGTACAAGGATACAGGTTAGTTCAGGCTATCCAAAAAGGTTGTACAAGTTTTGCAGTTTTGCAGTGAAATAAAATGCTTCTGAGAAAGTTATTGATTTATGTTATATTTTTTTCACTTTGTTAATTACAAACTACATGTACTTCTATAAATGTATTTTAAAATTTGATGCTGCATTTTAGGTTATTATCAAGAGGTTTTAGCAAATGCAGATAACTTGGTTAATAAAAATGAGCTCTAACTCAACATAAGTCATAATCCAAATATCTTAACTTTTACATTTAACAATAAACACAGAGAAAAATCCCCCTCCCTCCTAGGCCTCCTTTAACATAATCTGCTTCCAACCTTTGTTTCCCAATTTCGACATCTCAAAACAGTCCTTTCAACAATAACTTATTAAAAGCTTCATGTACTACTAGTAGTAACCAGAAGGCCATAAATAAGCATTGTCTTGGTTGGCAGGAATTTCCTATGCATTCATTGTGCATTGTCATTATTACCCATTTTTTCATTAAAATCAGTTTTTGCCATTCACTAATGCATAAATGACATAAAATAGGACTGTAAAGATTTTTCATCCTATGGACAAGATCCATAGTACTCCATACTAAAATACATTAAGGGATTTTTAAAATGGTACATATTTATTTGGTTCATTTACGTGGTTAATACACTTAATTTTCCTGCTGTCACGTTTTTCGGTGATTTTCGATTTCTTAAACTTTTGATATTTTATACTGACCAGTGAAATTTCCAGAGTATAACCAGCCTTGTTTTTAAATTTTTTTTTTTTTTTTTTTTTACACCGAGTGCTGTTTTATTCAATTGTCTGTTCAACAGAAAGACAACACAATACGTTAAAAAAAATTCTCGATGAATTGAAATACATCTTCTGCATAGACAAAATCATATCAATAACTCTAAAGTTAAATCTTTACTGTTTTCATTAAGTCCTTAAAATCTAGCACATTTCTAAACAAATATGTTTAAACACATCTTAAATTCATGTGTTAGCATGTTAAGTAAGGATTCATGAAGGGAGTAAAAAAAAATTGCAACTTCCTACAGCAGAAAATTTGATATTTGAAAAATCATTAGGAGTTATTCATATGAATTGTTATGCAGAATGTTTTCAATATTCTGGAACTTCCTGGTGTTTCTAATCTGATTTTAACACTTCCTCTTCCACCACCATACCGAGTCAGAATTAAATGTATAATACCAATTTAAACTAGAATTTTTTTTCAAGAGACCATGACAGATGAATTGATAATGAAATTAAAATGATCAGACTTTGCATATCAGATGTTGTACAAATGGAACAAATTTTCTCAATATCCAAGATGGACCCCCACAAGATTTAACAATGCTTGCTTTGTTCCATTGCATGTCACAACAAACAATGCCAAATACTTGTAGAAAGCATTAATGAAAACAAAGAATATTTATTTCATGAGTACAACAACAAATGAAACTGTGTCTACAATATACAGATTGATTAAATCTTGTTCTACATCCTGTTCAAGAATTTTTCACTTGTACACGGTAGAGGCAGGTGTTACAGTACGCAAGTGTTCTTAAAATAATGAAATGTAGTTCCTCATAATACATAGTACTTTAAAAGAAGACAGACAACTTCTATTGTAAAAATTTAATTTCTTAAAACAATTAACAATTAAACATTTGCAAATGATGACTGATTTGTACATGTATGGGTTGTTTGCTCAATCCTCAATTGATTTATTTTTTAATCATGTAAATGAGGTAGATATGTAGAGATAAAGTGTTGAACTTTAAATAATTATTAATATATAAACAAAAGGCTGAACTTTGATAAGAAAGAATGTTATTAATTAACTTGAAATCATTGGTAAACAATCCATATGGTACACCTACAGTCACATGACACGTTATTTCCGGATAATGACGTTTAAGAAATTTGGAAAATCCATTCCAAAAAATTAGGCCTATTTATCTTTAAAATTAATTTAAAATACTGATGAAATTGAATTCAGGAAGAAAAATATCAATTAAATAAACCTGTTGTAAATGCGTTTCTATGACTTTTACGATTTCTGGCGCATACTGCTCGTTGTCCTCAGCCAGCATGGTCAGCATGTTGATCAGAGGTTTGCTGTTTGCAGATAGGTCTTCCAACGAAGATTGGTATTCTTGGATAACCTCTTCTTCCATTGTACCAGCTTAGTTCACTTTGTTAACTTCCAAATACGTTCATTATCTCAGTACCAGCTAGTTGTGAATCTACCCTCTGTCTTTCAAAATGTCTCCTTCCTCGCTGACCTAGTTTTGCATCTAAGGTTGTCAGAACAAACATTTTTTGATTGGTTAAAACTTTGTGCAGTTAACCAATAAACGTGCCTAATACATTTAGAGCAATTTTAACAAAGTAGTCCATGTTTATCTTCAATTTTTGATGGAAATTTTTACGTATCTATACATTTGTCTTAATGACTCTTCTCTTAAAATCAATTTAGCAAATGTTTAGTACTTCTTGAAATAAGTTTTGCAATTAAAAAAAAGAAGGGAAAAAATAGTATTCAGGCGCAGAACTAACTTCCGGTTTTGTAATATTAAAACCAATACGATATATCCGGAATAATCATAGGTACTCAATATAAGTAAGCTCGATTGCTGTTGAACAATGATTGCTGAACTTTTGAAATTTTATTTTGAGTTCATTGTGATTTAATCAATGTATTTATACTGACTTATAATCTTATTTATCATATCTGTCTGCCAGTAGGTGTGTAGCAAATGATGATGATGCTGATCAGATGATGTGAAGTACCACTGAGCACTGCTGAGTAAGGGTATGTTGTCAAGTTGTAACTCTACTAGCGATACACATCTAATATATAACACAACAATTTACATTTTATTAACATTCAAATTTATCAAATTTTCTAAATAGACAAATCTAACGTTACTCCATTTAACAGCTGTTTAATATCCTTTAATTTCATCATGATAAACACTGGTCCAGTACAATCACTTGATCTAGCCTAGCTATCTTGCAAGATTTATATATATAGTTTTTCTACTATTAAACTTTCAGAATAGGTCAGTGAATCTTTTTATTTCACTTGATACATATATAAGGAATGTAGCCTAGCTATCTTGCTAGATTCGGCTACATATATAGATATTTTGTTAAATATATTTATTATTTATGCTATTATATATCTAGAAGTGAAAAAGAACATTAATTTGATACATTAATAATCTTCCAAAACGGCAAATTGACAGTAATTAAAGAAGGACAACCCATTACTGATTAGTAACTTGATTAAGTGCTAATCATTAAACAAAGAAGAAGACGTGGTGCATCCTTTAGAGTCTCAAGCACGTGTCATATGGGGTGGTGACTATGAAGAGTTAATTACGAGACGGCATATTTATATTAAACGTATAACGTTAGTCATTAATTATACATGCATCTACATTACCATAGGAAATACAGAGCTGTCTTCGGTAAGGTGTCAATTATTTTGAGCCGACCTGTCAGGGCCGAAGTGTCAACCAACACGGGCCGAGGCTGAGAAGTCTACCATATAAAATGTCCGAGAGGAGAAAAATGTGATGGACCATTGGGATTCAAATTCCCTGAATCTCTAGTCAGTTCAGCTATTTTGCCACAGGTGATTGAACCTTTTTGACTGTCTGATTTCTCTCTTGTATTCTCTCTGAAGATTTGGACGGGGTTCCATCCAATGCATGCAATGTTGGGCGAAAGATTTCTCCATGTTTTTAAACCCTTCAGCTCAAAATATTACTAACTGTGTGTCCCTAACATATATTCTCGCTGTTTCCACTGCAAAACTTTCAATTTAACAACATTAATACCCTGAAATTGAGGCCATTGAATATTTCACCTATCTATTTTCCCAATTTAGTTTGCAAGATATATACCTGTACTATAATTCAGTTCAACGCGTTTAATTGTGCAGATGCTAACTACGAGGGTACTGTGAAATCACAAATTTTCATGGTGGGTAATTTTCGTTGTTTTCAAGGTGTGAAGAGACCCACAAATTCATGTCCATCACGAAATGTAAAATGAGACATACATAACTACTCAATAATTCTACATCCACCAAATCAAATCCCCAAGAACCAAGAGTTTTTCTTCAAACCACAAAAATTTGACCCCATGAAAATATGTGATTTTACAGTACTTCTGATCATAGATGAAAAAGGAATTTATTACTACAAGGTATATATCTTTTTTGGCAATTAAGGTAAGAACTTCGAGAAATTAAGCTCTCAGGCCGTCAATCTCAATCCATTTTTAGACCAGCGAGCTACAGATCTGCAGCTAAAACATACCGCTATATAAGTAAAACATGGAGAACAGTCAAATGTTAAATGTAGACGTGTATTACAAGAACAATATCCACATAAACACTTTGAGCTATGACACTTCATAATGCCATAGCTAATAAATTAATATTTTTGATAAAATCAGAAAGGTAACCCTAAAACTTTTGTCCTGCCGTACTTTATTTTTTTGGCAGTGTTAACAGTGATAGAGAATGTGCTCTTTTAATTAAATTTTGCATGTCACAGGTGAATATGGAGGACTTCAAGTATTTGTTTAAAGTTGTGTTGATTGGTGAAGCAGGAGTTGGGAAGACATGTTTAGTCAGAAGATTTACCCAGGTATGTAACTTCAGTATAAGCAGGGACTGATCTGTCTAAGGAGGGGTATGTTTTGCAATTGTAAATGGGGCCAATATTGACCCTACATGGGGCAGTGGAAAATTCCTGCATTAAGATGCATAATTCTATATATCAGTTTTTAATATTTTGATGTATGATGTTTGCGTGGTTAATAAAAAAAGAAAAAAATGTTATATGCTTTCAAAATGCTACTCCTCCTAGAGTTTTGGTCTGATTTCAATATAATTTGAAAAATAGAAATTTCTGTAAAATTCTTTTTAAAGGCATCTTTTCCACAATCAAAGAAATCAGAGATCATTATTCTATCTATTGCTGTTGCAAAGTTTCAAGTCCACTTGCTTCTTTTCTCTTCCTTTGTTATAAGTACATCCTTACATGTACCAGTAGAGCTACATTCTTGACAGAGACTTCTGGTTTCTCTACCTCAGAATTAATAGGAGGCAAACTGCATAATGATTATACAGTTAAACTGTAAAACATATGTGATTTCAGTATAAGCCAGTGATGGGTGGGGGTGTAAAGTGGCAATAGTCTGAAATACTCAGGTGACTTTTGTGATCCATGGTCTCCTTGCTTTTCTAGTCTACATATTCACCTGAGCAACTCTTAACCATTGCAATCTGCAACCAGAAGAAAAGAATTGGAAGAAAAAGTAATTTGCTATTTTATGAAGGTAAAAATATTGAGAAATAAATCTTTGAAAGTAATTTTTTTCCCCTAGGGTTTATTTCCACCTGGACAGGGCGCTACCATTGGTGTGGACTTCATGATAAAAACTGTGGAAATTAATGGCGAGAAAATTAAGGTATATGTTTGATTCAATTGATAATCCAGCAAGATTTATTACAAGGGAAATTATAGAAATGTGTTTTCAGATGAAACAAACTTCAAATATCACAAAGATAACTACTATAAAAGTATATTCATATTTTATAAGTATTTACAATTTTGTTCACCTCATATTTGTCACTTTGTATATTATGCATGTATTAATCGTGTTAATTTGTATTATGTTATCAATGTTCATGACTGTATGGATTATACATGTAACATGGTAATTGTCAATAAAGTGAATTGAATTAAGTATAATAAATAAGATTAGGAACATAGATTTTAAATTTTTCAACAATCAAAGTTTGTCAAAAATCCTAATATGTGATAAAATGTAATATAAATTTATAATGGATATATAAAAAATAAAATTGTGATCATCATAGAAAGTCTGCACTTTGTTAATAATTAAGATAATTGTACAGTATCATTAAAAAAAAAAAGAAATCAAAAAATATAAATCAATCTGAGCAACCATTTTTTGATTGGTATCACTTGTTCTTAATAAATTCCATTGGGAATCATTGAAACTCTTCCTCAGCTTCAGATCTGGGATACGGCCGGCCAAGAACGGTTCCGCTCCATCACACAGAGTTACTACCACTCAGCTAACGCTCTTATCCTGGTGTATGATGTCTGTAGTCAACTCTCCTTTGATAATATTCCTCACTGGATTCATGAAATTGAGAAGTATGCCAACACCAAAGTCTTCAGCTACCTTGTTGGTAAGTCTAATGGTAAACATACTTCCAAGGAAATTTTGAGACAAAAGAGTATAAATACTGGTGCATCTTGTACATCTAACAGTAACATTGAATTACAGGAAATAAGATTGATCAAATTAATAGAAGAGAGATTCCTTCATATATTGGAGAACAATTTGCCAAACGTTATGAGATGAAATTCATAGAGACTTCTGCCAAAGAAGCAGAGAATGTGGATGCATTGTTTTATGACATTGCCACGGAATTAACAAAGCAGGCCCATCAGCAGGCTCTGGAGTCGGATAAGAGTGTCAATTTTAAGGCTCACAACACTTCTACTATCTCAAGCTGCTCAACTTGTCTTAAATTTTAGTAGGGATGGGTATCGCCAAAAATTTCGTATCGCGATATATCACAATTTTTTCCCACAATATCACGATAATATCATATTTTTAAAAGCAGTTTTTACAGTAATTTTATATAGAAAGTCATTATTTTTCTAAAAAATATGCTAGAAAAACAAAATTTTACTCTCTTGAAATTTTTATGTATATAAAATCAATTACGTTTGGACGGTAAGATGCCATTCCTTTCACTTTTTACAACATTTTTTATACTTTCTGTAATTGTAATTTGAAAGATTGAACAAATAAATGTATAATTTCTGGACTTTATGATAAGTACCTAAAGACCGTATCACGATACGTATCACGCAACAGAAAATCGCGATATACCGGTATACCAATAAAATCGCACATCCCTAAATTTTAGTCTCTACAGGTATGGAATATACATGTTTTAATGGAGGTGTTTTTAGAAAAAGAAATTCTAGTTCAATTTATTACCACTCTGTCAAAGTATTTTGTTGAAAAAAATTTTTTAAATTGACTTGAATATTTCTTTTTTGAAAGAGAAAATTGTTTTACAATACTTTTACTAGATTTAATGAGGAAGAATTATTATCATTCATCACTATTGTTATACCTTTAAAATTTTGTTCCTATGCAACTCTATATGAAAAAAAAATCTAACATTTCTAATGTTTTACTGAGCGAGCATAAAAAAATAAAAGTTTGACTGCTGAGTGAGATGTTGGACCTGTTGATGAGATGTTAGATCACTTACGTCACACAATTGGCGGAGCTTAATTTAATTTGCATTCATTGCTGTTTAGCTGTGAGAGACATTATGTTTAAATCATGGAAGACAGTGCAAGATACATGTATGTCAAAATAAATATTAAAATGAAAGGTATAACAAAACATTTCTTGACTGTATTCTTGGGCAAAATGTGTTTTGTTGACCTTCAAACCAAACTGTCTGCCTTCGGCCTAACGGCCATAGGCAGACAGTTTAGTTCTTAGGTCCAACAAAACGCCTGTTGCTCTCGAACTCATCAATAAATGTATGTTTTTCAAATCAATTTTTTAAAACACATGTATAATGTGCTTGTATTTTTTTTTTAATAAGGTATTAAGTAATTTTATTATATCCTTAATTGATGAAAAGGTTATTTATCTGTAATGAATTATAGTGCAGATTTTACAACAAGAGTTCTTCTTGATGTTTTCTATTTTGAAAGTACAAGTATATTATATAAGAAAACTTTTGCAGTGCAAAAGAGAGTGAGTCTTAAGGTTGAGTGGCAAATGCCGAGTTCTCTGTTGAAAGAGGCCTCCACATGATTATGTAATAGGATGTCATTTTTGAAACAAACCATAATTTACTTTTATGGAACTTTTAATTTGTTTTTTGCTTTCTTACAGTTCTAATATTTCCATATTGTTGTACAGTGTTGTTAAAATGTGCCATGCTTTATACGGAAGTGATGTATTGATGACAATTACCGGGTATCTGTTTTTTCTATCAATACAAGCATTTATATTGAATGTTGGGCTGCGGAATGTTGACATAGTATACTTTGGGCTTTGAAATTCACTTTTTTGTCAAATACAATTCTTAACAATTTATTTGAATTTTGAATTGATGTTTATTCATGGTATTATTTTTTTTTTCAATATTTCTTTTATGAATAACAAAATTTCAATTGAAATTAAGTTAGTGAATCTTTTAAAAGAAGTATATGCTTAAAAAAAATAAAAGCACATTGTATGAAGTCAATATATAAATTGTAAATCAAATTGTTCATTTCCCGATCAGTCATTCCTGATGAAACAGTTGATTTACCAGTAACCCCACTCACCCTTCTTTCTGTTGGTACAGTTTATTTTTCTTTTGTTTGCATTGATATAAGAGTTATCTTATTTTTAAAACTCTAGTCAACACTGTTTAGTGTATTTTTTGAATTTTCAGTTTTTCATTGTTTTCCTCTCAGCTTTATACACCAATAGATTTATTTTCATACTACTAGTGCCAATTTTATTTTCTTCCTGAGCATTGCTTATATGTGTTTTTTATTATGGTATAATGATCTTTTTCAGTTGTTTGAATAATCAATTTTATTCATTAGGTCATATTGCATACAATTATATGGAATAAGCACTATTGAAAAAAGAAATGTAAACCAGAGATTTTTTTTAATCAGTGCTTTTGCATTCTTTACTCTTTAAATTTAATCTAGCATTATCAGACAACACAATATTTTATTTTTTTCAAAATACCTTTTTTGTGCACTACATTTAAAAAAAGTCATTAGCAATTGTTAATTTTTTCTCATGTAGCACAATATTTGCATGCTGGTAAGACGTATTTAAAACACTTTCAAAATAGTGCTTATATTGGTCTTGGATTATGTGTTGCAGATATAAAAATGCCAAACATTAAGCTTTGTATACGAAACCGCTTATAGCATTAAAACCCTGCTGTAAGCACACGTATTGTATAAGGAAATCCATTGCATTCAACTTTTGTTTGACAGTTTTGTACAAGTGGTGCTTTTGCATCAAGTTATTAAGAATACTCAACATTTCCATTGTTTTGTCTTTTTGCTGAGTACTTTGTAATAAATTTTCTGATTGAGGTCCATTTGTTTTCATTAGCTCCTCTGGTCAGAGACCAAAAAAGGTGCCTTGTGGCAACGTACTTTGAAAAAATTACGCACTTCAAAAAAAATTCAAAGTGCGTTAAAATTGGGACAAAATCAACGCGCCTTGAAAAAAATTTCAAAGTGCGTCAGATCTGGGACAACATTAGCGCACTTTGTAATTAAGATTAATCTATTTAAATAACTGTAAAAATAAAGGCCATCATCTTGCACATGAATTAGAACAATTTTATACATCTAAAAACTTATCAAATGTAACTATAAAAAGACCGTTATGTTGTGTTGGAAATTAATTTTAATCAGAATACAAACTTGGACTCCATTTTGTTGCATTTCCCGTACCCCTAAGGGTCATATGTAAAACGTCTATATCTCATATCTTGGAGTGACGTCATCAACAAAAAAGTTATTCGACCAAATTCAGATATTCTTTTTATCATATCTAAAACATTGACTACATTAAGTCATGCACATGTTTTCAAAGTGCGTTTATATAGTCGATATTAACGCAATTTGAAAATAAAGATTATTTTTTCAAAGTGCCCAAATTTAACGCACTTTGAATTTTTTTTTCAAAGTGCGTAATTTTTTCAAAGTGCGTTGTAAAAGTTCCTCCTCAAAAATTGTGAATGGCCACAGCGTGAGGGAGTGCAGGACCATATCGAAATATAGTGAAAATGCGTTAATTCTTGAAAATCTTCTTTACTCCTGGGTATTGAATAAATTAACTAAATACATAGTTATGATGATGATTATAATGATGATGATGATGGGGTGCTTCTTCGAAAATTGTGAATTTTATGGCTCCAGGGTTTATGGAAAGCCAACGGGTTCAAAATTCCAACTCTGTAATTCTTAAAATGTACACATGTAAACCTGAAATTGTAAATTGTAAATCTTAATTTCATAATTTGTAAATTGTTCTTTCACAATTTGTTAAATGTAAATTATCCAACTTAAATTGAAAAGTGTAAAAATGTAAATGCACGTTATGTCAATGATCACGTGTAGTTCGTAGACTTGCAATTTGTCAACTTATGAAATGTACTTTCGTGATTTGTAAATTATGCAAGGTTGCATATTAAGACGAAAGAGGGCGCTATAATAGTGGAAAGTCATTTCGCTCCAAAGGTAAAGAAGATTACCTATAACCAATTGAGATTTGTGATATGCACGCATATTATGCCTTCAAACGGTTTACAAATAAGATTTAATGCAGAAAAGATCTCGTGAATCTTATCCAAAAGGGGGACGAGGTGCACCCTAGTCAAAATATTCCAAACCAAAAAAAAAATTCTTCGATAAGCAAAAAAATAATAACCTTTTTCGTATTAGTGGTTGTGGTTTGTGTGTGTGTGTATGGGGAGGGCGGGGGCAAAAGTCATATTCTATGTGCATACATCAGTATATACATTTGATAACTTTGTACATTAAATTTTGGGCAGGGGTCCGGTTTCCCAAATTCCCTGCTAAATCCGCGCACGGAGAGGTGCAGAATGAATAGAACCCGAAAGTTTTTTTTCAGTTTTATAAAGAAGCGTGAAGAGTAGTATCGGAGAGTGGCTCCCCCTTCCCGCTTTTTCTCGACAATGTTTTACTGTAAATTAGTATCAAAACCCATCATAACTACGGATCGAATTGTCTTGTGAAAAAGTAAGAACCATAGCACAGCCTCCCCCAGTGTCAATTATTTTTCTGGGTGCCCCTTCCAAAAATGTTGCTACAGGTATGAGGACTACATTTTTCACGTGTTCTGTTTTTGTGTGATTGTTGGGCCCAACTTTATTTTGTTTCACGAGGATACATGGAATAAACTACTGTATACAGGGAAATTTTCGCCACCGTTTTACCCTTTCGCCCTACCCTCATTTGGGCGAATTTAAAACGGGGCGAAATGAAATAATACAGTACATATTTTTTTAATAAAACTATAAAACGGGGCAAAATTGTTTGCAAGTATGAAAGGGCGGAAATTAAACGGGACGAAAATAACCCTGTATACAGTATATATGTAACTCAACAAAACTGAGGATGTGTTCAGCTCTATAAAATCATCTGATTAACATGTATACAAACTCAATGAGTGGTGCAAAGAGAAGGAACCCCCCCCCCCCCGCCCCTCACTTCCTAGTAGTGTGTTAGTCGTAAATCTTACAAAATATTATAGAATATATTAATGATTATTTATAAACACAAAAATAGTCATGTGTTTGGAAGAAAAAAGAGAAAAAACAACATACTTATTATATAATCACTTCAAATAACTTTTTTATTTAAATTTTCCGTATATACAAAATGTACTTTACAAAAACAAGAATGGGGTCTGTCAATGCATGTATATTTTCAAATTCCAGGATTTATTTTCTAAATGAGGGTTGAGCTTCATGTCCACTAAAATAAAATCATCCAAACGCAAAAAAAAATCGTGCACGTGTGTGCGGGGGGGGGGGGGGGGGGGGGGGGGGGGGGGGGGGGGGGGGGGGAATGGACAGTTCTTGTTGATAAGCCGTTTCAAATATTTATATGACTCTTCTACTTATTTACGAGAGGTTCACAACTCCTGAAGGGGGGGGGGGTCAAAGTTATTGCTTAATTGTTTTACCGTATAAAAGTCATTGATGAAAATCCGAGGGGTCGATCCTGGGGCCCATTTTACAAAAGAACTTACGACTAAGACTGAAATTTTATTTTACTTACAACTTTTTATTTTACATTAATTTGAAAATTGTTTTTATCTTTTAAAAATAATTCAACAAGATATTTTTATTTTAGCAATTTCAACCAGGATAATCAATTTTACAAAATTTTAAAATCAGCTAAATTTTTTGGTCTTAGTCGTTAAGTTTTTTTTTTTTTGTAAAAGGGGCCCCTGGCCTCTATATAACCCCCATTCACCCTTCTGCCGAATCTACCAGTAGCACTACAGAAAAGGCTTTTAAAAAAAGTTATAAAATTATTCAGGATTGTTGGGAGTTTTTACGAGAGTATAATCTGTTAATACAGTCAAACCTGTTTTAAGAGGCCACCTTTGGGAAGATTGGAAACTGGCCACTTAAGACAGGTGGCCTCTTATTCCAGTTTGCCCTTGAAATAGCCAGTCGGTAAAAAATGAACATTTAGCACCACAGTTAAATTAAAAATAATCAGAGTAAAACAGGTCAATTTAACAAAAGCTATTATGTGCATTAATTCATGTACATTAAAAAATATTAGAAACCCAAAAAGGTTTTGTTGTTATATTAAAATATTAAATTATTTTAATTATCATTTGACGAAATACATGTGCCTCACTTAAAATTATTTTGTCTCCCATCCCTATCCCCCCCCCCCCCCCCCCCACACACACACACCAAAGAAAATGCTAAAACAGTTTAATGGTTTAAAAAAGTCTAGAAAAATATTTCATTGAGAAAATAACAGTATATTCTTTTTCTTAAAAAATCAGTTTCATATGTTCAAGTAATGATCAGCAGTGTAACCCCCCCCCCCCAACCCCCCAACCCCCCCAACACACACACACGTAATTAATTGGCAGTTCACTTACTTACTCAATTTATTTGAAAAGTCTGGTACATTCTTTTTTATAAAGCTGTAAGAATTTCTCTTAATACACAGGCACACAAATAATTGTATTCTGTTGACCAGACTGTGGCAGAGAGGTGTATTATGCAATTCAAAATCCAAACAGGTGTTAGGTGCAGTAGAGCATAACTAATCCTTATTGATCGTCTCCTGATAGTGAAATGCACGGGAAAATCATGCCATATAAAGCACATTGTTTTCACAAGAACAGCAGTTAGGGCTTCTACATGGAATCAAAATCTAGAAGGTGTGAAAGTATTTATAGCCTAATGTATTAGTTCATATGATGAATGGATATCGTAGAGTACAAAATCTAGCTTTAAGAATGAATTTCTTAAGCTTTGGGAAAATTAATTAATTATTTAAATGTCTTCATTTTTCAATCGTCAGTAGTAAACAAATTGACTGAATAGTCCAACAGGAAAACATTTTTTTCATTAATACTAACAAAGTTCAGCGTATCTAATTTGTTTAATTGCTATAATAGGTTAAAGTTGACAAACGAGCGTATAATTACCCAAGCGAATTTGTTTGAAAGATATGACAGAATCGCAACAAGTGACGAAATGGCCGCTTATTACAGTGTAAATAAGGTTTTGGGTGAAGATCTGAGTGGCCGCTGGCCGCGTTACACAGGTGGCCGTTTATTCCAGTTAAAAGATATAGGAAAAATCGTCGGGGGGAACTGAAAGTGGCCGCTGACTGCGAGTGGCCGTTGATTTCGGGTGGCCGCTAAGACAAGTTTGACTGTACATTATTATTTACAAACAGTCTTAAAGACAGACATGAAATTATTTTATTCATCAGCCTTTCTTTATATTTTTGCCTGGTGGGACGCATTCATTGTCATCGTCGTCCTTTACACCCTGTGATGTGTAGGGCAGCAAAACTTTCTCCACTCATGTCTATTCTGGGCCAGCCGCGTCAATGATCCTCAGGTCTCGTGCATTGCTGGACGCACTGGGGAAATGATTAAATTGTTAGGCAACGAATTAACCTGCCACCCTTATAGCGCCCCCTATCGTCTTAATAAGTGTTAGCATAATGCAACCTTGCATAATTTACAAATCTACAATTTTTACATTTCACAAGTTGACAAATCGTAAGTCTACGAATTACACGAGAGCATCGGCAAAACTTTCATTTACATTTTACACTTGTCAAATTACGCATGGGTAGTTACAACTAACAAATTGTGAAAAAAACAATAGTTTTCAATCACGTGACTTCCGCCCTCTCAAAATAGAGTTGGCAGCCATATTGGAGGTGGAGTTTGTTTACGCATCATGAGTGAAAAAGGCGTTAACAAACCATGTCAAAGGGGTACATCAAGGGAAAAGTTAGTCGATCGTTCCTTGACGTACCGAGAGAGTTTAGACAGCGTTTCAAAACAGAGATATGATGACAAACTCGCTTTAATTCAGAAAGAAGACCCGTATCAGATAGAGAAAGCGAAATGGTCGAAAGACGTGGAAAAATGGGCTTCTGTGACATACCCCGACATTGTAAACTTTCTTCTGTACACAACAAGTGCTTATACACTCGATGAACTGAAATCATATAAAGGGTTAGAAGCATATAACCAGTTCGTGAGCGGATGGGTAAGGGATGTTGCAGTGTGTGAAATTAATGGCCTGTGCGTACAGGGTACAAGTCAAAACGGCACCTGGTGAAAACGGCACTTAGGAAATATGCAAAACGGCACTTGAGAGTAGTCAAAACAGCACTTTAGAAAAGTCAAAACGGCACTTTTTTTATTTTGAGAATTTGATATTGTTTATACAGAAAATGGATCTTAATATTACATATATAATAATAAAAGTGTATATTATTATTGATAAAAATTTTATTGGAAAAAAATTAAACTGATTCATTTGAAAATTATTGTACTTTTGTACAGTGGTTAGATTTTTTAAATGCACTTCTTCTTTAAATTATATGTCTATTATTTTCTACTAAAGAGATCAAATCCCAATTATATTATTATACATGATCCTTTGAAATTTTAAAATTTATAGTGTTGCAAATATACTTCTCAGTTTTGGGGGTTGCCAGTCACAGTTGACAATTAGAAGCCAGTTAGAGTATGTTTACTTAGAATACACTTGTAGGAATAGAAACAAAAGACCATTTCACACCTCCCCTTCAATAATCTGTTGATCGTCAATTTGCAATCATATCAGAGACATATAAATCTCTCTGTCTCTGATCATATACAGCTACTATTGTGTATTTCTCGACAAAATGTCAAATAGATTGTACACAAGTTAGAAAAACTTAGATAATCCTCTCCCAACTGTACATAAAATATGAATAGCCATACAACATTTAACAAAATAATAAACATGTACATAGAAGAACAAAACATTTGTTTTTTCATAATAAAGATGATACAATGTTGATATTGTTAAAATAATTTCAAAATTAGATAGAAATGTGAGATAAAGTGACTCTTACTGAATTTTCTTTTTTTTTTTTTTAAATCATTTACACCATTTCTTTTTTCATATTATCAACACCACACTACAAATGTAATTATTCTTAATCCCACATATTGTTGTGCTATAGCTTATAAATACTAACTTTAAAAATATATTGAAAATAAAGCAAAATTGAAGCCACAAAAATTCTAAAGTCAATAAATTAAATTTCGAATTAAAAAAGAACTTATGTCAAATATATATCATAACACAGTTATAAGTGCCGTTTTAACCAAGTGCCGTTTTCACTAAGTGCCGTTTTAACCAAGTGCCGTTTTGCATATTCCAGGTGCCGTTTTCACCAGGTGCCATTTTCACTAGATACCGTTCTAACCATAATTCTGCGTACACACTTCTCGGGTAAGACATTTTAAGATGCATCTATTGTTACGACTTGTTTTAAAAGGCACGATCTATAGGACAAAAAACAAAAACAAAACTTTGCATCGTTTGATCATGTTGAGATCAAAGATTTCCGTAGCTGATAGTGTAAATTCGGATGGAAATTTAATGGTTGTTTCAGGTTATTTTCTATCCAAGTCTTCATGTCTTAGAAATCTTCAATATCCCAACTAAATAATAAAAAAAAAATTAACTGCATTGCACAGTTCTGTACTTGTTTATTTGAGTAATTTAATCAGTTGGTGTAAATTAATTCATAATTGAATTATTACTTTCAGGTAATGCACTCACAGCGCCTAAGTGAAGCCCCCCTTAACCCTTGGATCATCGTACAGCCGGAGGGGAAAATTCTTGCAGCACACTGCAACTGCATGGCAGGTTTAGGAGAGGCCTGCACCCACATAGGCGCAATGCTTTTCTCAATTGAAGCATCGGTGAAAGTTCGGGATTCCAGGACAGTGACAGAAACTAAATCTTACTGGCTACCTGCTTCGTTGAAAGGCGTCTCCTATGCCAGAATTGAAGACATAGACTTTACATCAGCGAAAGCTAAGAAAAAGGCCCTGGACTCACAGTTTTCAGAAACGCCATGTGAAAAGAGAGGAGGAATGCAATATAAAGCTATAGATGCTCCATCAGATGATGAATTAAGGACATTTCTCAACAAACTCAACCAAACTGGAGCACAGTCAGCAATATTAAGTGTCAAAAATTCATTCCAAGAAGCTTTTATACCCAAAGCACTGGACCAAAAATTCCCAATTGTATTAAATGACTTGCTAAATACAGATCTCCTTCAGGCACCGTTCAGGGAAATTATGGAAGTCTGTGAAAAAGTGCAAGTGACTGTGACGAAAGAAGAAGCGGACAGTGTTGAGAAAGCCACCAAACAACAAGCTACCACAAAGCTATGGAACAGATTTCGAAGTGGTCGCATAACAGCATCCCGCATGTATGCAGCTTGCCACAGCAACCCTGCATCCCCATCTGAAAGCTTAATAAGGGCCATATGCAACCCAGAAATTTCAAAGTTTCAGACAGCAGCAACTACATGGGGCTGTGCACATGAGAAACAAGCCCGTGAAGTCTACTGTGATTCAATGCAGGATGTCCATGACAACTTTACAGTAGAAGATGCCGGATTTTGCATTAACCCAAGCTATCCTTTGATTGGAGCCTCCCCAGATGGATTTGTCTCTTGTGATTGCAATGGCCAGGGAGTAGCTGAAATCAAATGTCCATATTGTGTGCGGTCAACGTCCCTGAGTCTCTACACTGGAGGAAAATATTGCTTGGAGGATACACCAGATGGACGTCGACTTAAAAGAAACCATCAATACTACTATCAGATACAAACACAGATTTTTGTATGTGAAAAGGAGTACGCAGACTTTGTCGTATGGACAGAAAAAGATCTTCACATGGAAAGAGTTGAACCAGATAATGAACTGTGGGAGGAAATGAAGACCAAGGCAACTGACTTTCACTCATTGGCAGTTATGCCTGAACTTGTTGGGAGGTTTTTTTCAAGGAAGTTTACTCCAGCATCCTTGGTTGAACTGCAGGAATCGGACACACTTTTCTGTTTCTGTAGGAAAGGAGAAACTGACACAATGGTGGCCTGTGACAACCGCAATTGTCAATTTCAGTGGTTCCATCTATCATGTCTGAGGCTAACAGAATCAAACCTACCTAAGGGGAAGTGGTACTGTCCCGATTGCAGCCAAATGCCAGAATTTAAGCCAAAGAGACGATGCAGTAAGAAGTGACTGGTGTATTTTATTTCAGATTGTGAAGTGTCTTTGTTGACTTGATTATCTCGGTATCTGAATGCAATTTCTCATTCCTTAATTTATATAGGTATACTTTATAATTGATGATGATATTATCAGGATGAATATGTATAATATATTCAAATATTCCTTGAATGCGTGTTTAAATGTTCATTCCCTGTGCACTGTCCATATAAATATTCTTGTTTTATACTCTTCTCTTTGTTCTAACTACTTGAATTTAAGCATTAACATTGAAAAGCTAATTACATTGTTTGTCTTGTTTTGTTTGCATTTTGAATACAACTTCAACCAAATTTAGTTCTTATTTCTTCCATTCCATATATTTCCTGTTTGCAAGGATAAGTTACTTGACATTAAACTGAGAACACACTGAAGTTAAAATTTGATTTTGATACTTGTTTGTATTGTATTGTACCAATGTGAAAACACTTTATATTCTTTCCTAAATAATCATTTACAATTAATATGTGTACTATTAAATTTTAACTCGAGTCTGTTCTCATTTTATGGTCTTGAGAAAAAAAAAAGTTTTGTTGAGTTCCCTAACTGACTTTGATTTATTGATGATTTCATCAAAATCCAATTCATCTCAGGCTTCCATCAAATCTACCTCAAATAAGAAAAATTGAAGGCAATTTTAATATATTTATCTCATAAATAAATGAACTACAACAAGTAAAAATAACAATATAATTCAATTAATAATCAGAAAAAAATAAACTATGAACTTATCAAACAATTGGCAAAATGAGCATCATATATTTTTTTCAACCTATTGGCACAACATATAAATAATTAGTCTATGACTGATCTATTATATCATTAACAGGTATAAAACAAAATTAAAATTTCAAAAATAAACTATGAACTTTTTCAACAATTGGCACAGTTATATATATTATGACTGACTTTTATAACAAGGTTTAGAGCATCATTTTTAAAAAAAATCTATTGGCACTTTTACACATTCTTTGACTGTACTGTAACAACAAACATTTCTTCAATCAAATGGTACAACTGACTTGCATATATTCGTCAAAGCACAACAAACATTTACAATTTTGTCTATTGTTGGTGTAGAACCATTTACAGAAATCAAATAGTCCAAAGGCACGGTATCCTGTAATATTTTATACTTGTTTCGAACAAGTCCAATTACACGTTCCACATGAATCCTCACATTGGCTAACTTTCGCGTGCGCTCCACATCTAAGGCTGATAATTGGGTTCTCCCTTTTGTAAATGCAGGAATTTTTAACTCGCAGCTTACTTATGCAAGATCTATATATCAAAACCCCTGTCTGCTAAAACAATGTCCCCATATCAAGTTTGTCTAGCAATTCACAGTCTCTATAATATGTTTGTCATATGACCGGCCACCGTACCCTTTACTGATGAAGGATATGACTCCCTGTGGTGATATCCCAATTAAAAACTTGACGGTATTATGGTGCTTATATGATGACCAGGTTTGTGCACGGGCTTCTAAATTGGAAGGCCTTTCAATGAAAAGTTCAAAGCAGTCAATAATTATGGCCACTTTAAGTCCAAAATGCTTTCTGAACCCCATGGGCATTGTTAATCTTCGTTCATCCTGGGTTGGCCAGTAAATCAAGGGATGGAGTTTGCAATGTAGGACATGCAATGTAGAAAGAAAGATCCTAGATATACTTCCTGATGATAACCGGAACTTCTCAGCCAAATAACTCACTGGCAAATTGAGTTTTAAACGCATTAAAACCATCACTAGTTTCTGGAACTTTGACAGAAAACTCTGCTTTCCCTGGGGGATTGCAGACTCAATAAATGAAAACAAAGTCATCAAAACAGAAAATGCCGGAAGTCCTGTAAATAGCTTAACTTTCTCATCATCGTCCTTAAATGTGTCTTCTGATATGGTAACACTGGCTAGTTTCTCCCTCAGCTGGATATTTTCAACTGTCAAACGGTTAAGTTCAGAGTTCATAGCACCTATAACATCACTAGTTAAGTCTGTTTGGGTGCATTTCCCGATGTCGGTCTCGGATTCTGTCACATCTGAATCAGAAGCACTGGTAGAACTGGTTGAATCTACACCGACACAAGCCTCTTCACAGAGTTCAGATTCCCGGGCGTCGAACAAAGATATCAAGGACTTAGCAGCTTCCACACACTTAATGCGCCCTTTCCTCTCTTTCAGTCTCTTTCCTCTTGTTAATGTGGGCGTGGCCAGTACTTTCTGGTGTCCAAGGTTTACAGATGGCCCCCAGTCAAGGTCTGCCTCTCTATAGAGTGGTGCTGGCTTTCCTACAATTGTTTAAAGTTGTTAGGAACAGACTGTCCACAGTTTGAACAATAATTGTTTAAACTGGTATTGAAATAACGTTTCATCCAGTTTTAATATCAAATAAAGAACTTTAAGATAACACACAGTCAGGGGTCTCTGTAATCTTTTATGCATACAAATTTTAGCAAGGCATAAAACAAGGGTCCCCATATAAGAGGCCAACTTTTTTTGTCTTTTACCACTACCAACTTCTTTCAGTTCTAAATTTTTTGCTAATAATACTACAATACCCTTATTTCAGAATACAATGATATATTAAACACTATGGGGTGGGGGGAGCCATTCAATGAACACTTTCAATAATAAATGCTTTGTCTGAAAAAAGTGGGAGGGGTCAGGTCCCCTCCTGTTGTTACATGCCTGTGTATTGCCTAATATTTCATTTAAAAAAATGTCATTCAAATAACGAGTAAATGACACGTTGTACTAACTAGTAATCTACGAAAGTACAATTTTATAGAATTTTTTTTAATGAGGGCATGTCTAATCCGAGATTTCCGATTCTGAGCCTATCGTTGTTATTTATCAAAACTACAAAAATATTATTAGACAAAACCGTTTACCTGATTCAAAATGGTCGGAACAGACTCGTACATAGGGGTAAGACGATGGTGTCAAATCTGCCCTGCTAATACGTGAAAGCCATAATCTCCTCCGTCTCTCGGACATTTCCTGTGTTTTCTCACCTTGGTTTGTAATTATGGCGGGTAAACGATAAAACGATACTTTATCCCTCCCCCAAGTGTTCGTACAGCCAATAACAGCCAATAACAGCACAGTAGTTAACCATTGTTTACATAAGTTTACGCTTCGGCGCTTTTCCCCAGTTTCACCTCCAAGATGGCCGCCGCTATTAAAACCGGAAGATGCCTGACGTCACATGAAAACTATCTATTGACAAATTATGAAATAAAGATTTACAATTTACAAATTCATGTTTACATGTGTACATTTTAAGAATTACAGAGCTGGAATTTTGAACCCGTTGGCTTTCCATACGTAGAGGGGGGTATAATTATATACTGAAAGTGAATTAATGCTTTGAAATCTGCTCTTCATCAAACATTTATCATGAGCAAGGGTGTCCTTTCCAAAACTGTGTAATGTAAGGCCCCAGGGCCAGGGGTTCCTGTGAGGAGAGGTCACTACTAAATACTGCTGATTACCGGGTATTTTAAAACAGCCAAACTACGCATGCTAAGTGTTAGCTGCAGAACTGTAGCTCTCCGGAAAAAATATATTTACAGACCGGAGAGCTATACACAATCTCCCATGCAGAGTTGTCGTTCGTTCCTCTCTCAGACAAACGTGAATGTATGAGCCGATGGTAGAGAGTGAGCTATACAGTGAAAGAATATGTTAGGATCACACGGTTAGTAATATTTTGAGATGACAATTTGAAAAACATGGAGAAAGAAATCGAGAAACAGCGCACTTTTTGTGCGCAATAAATATACAGTTTTTTTTTCAATGGGTGGCACTGTAGCTCTCCGGTCTGTCAATGTAAGTTTTTCGGAGAGTTACAGTTCTGCAGCTAGCTAAGTGTATATTTTGATGAGCAATGTGAAAATGTTGCCTCTTTCAAAATGTTAACTGACGACGCACGACGATAGATTAAAACCCCGGCATGTCACTTGAGTGACTCAGGATGAGAAATTGCCTTCTAAGATATATCTAGTTGATTTCGGTTCCTAAAATCTTGTATGTTTACGAAGAACCCTCTATAAAATGTATTCAGTATAAAATATCTTTAATTAGCTGCATGTACATGTTTTTTCACTTTTTCAAATTTTCAAGGACATATTGACAGTTTTACAAATTATGGCACATATTATGCTTGGGTAAAGAGAATTCAATTTCTCCAAAGTTTCATATATACCCTTATCCAAAGGACGTAAGAAATAGAAGCAAGAATAGGGTAGGTCATACATTCTCAAACCCAATGGGCCAAAAAAAGACGAAATTACATGAAAGCTTTCATTTGTTGTAAATATAGCTGGGTCATTGCCCAAAGCAGCTCAGGCGAGCGTTTTACCCATGGGCTGCATTATATTGCATTGACACCAATCTATCTTTTGGAAACAGCGATCCTTTCCACTTCTGCATTTATAAACATGATACAGAGAACTTGTATTTATGACACCAATAGTGCGTCGTAGGTATACAGTCTCCGCTCCTTCGAGTAAATAATATTTTAAGAACAGTGGATATGTCCAGGAAGTGTTGTGAAATTGGTCTACAATTTATATTTTTGATATCTTTAGGTAAGAAATGATTTTGTTGTGTTATGTGATTGCGTTTTTAAAACAAAATTAGGTTCCACATAAAACTGTTTTTATTACAAAATTTTAATCGGTGAACAACAACGGGAGGGCATTTTGGTCATTATGAGACGATGTTTTATTAATCAAATTAAAATTATTTTCTGTATATTTTCTGATACCAAAAATACAGTTAAGAAACTTCGTATAAAAATTTCGAGGTTCTAATTATGTCAGAAAACGAACATCGATATTTTGATTCCAAAAAATGTAAGTTGACAGAGGTGTAACAACAGATTATGAAATATAACCATGATAACAGGCACCTGATGACTGACGTTACTTATTTTTCTTTTGTTAAAAAAATATATACCCGTTACCTCATAATAATTAGGTAGGGGGTATTTTTTTTAATTAAAAGAAAAATAAGGAACGTCAGGTGACTGTGTATGAAATATATATATATACCGGTATATAGAAGCAGCTAGATTTTTTGTTAAATAAATTTTATCTTGATATTTAAAAAATCAAGAAATATAATTATTAGTGTTTAAACTTAGACTTGTACCCTGAAATTGGTGAACGAGAACGAGCCCCCTGAAAAGCCATCGACAGCTACGTAAAAACAATTACGTATTTTAATTATAGTATCACTCCTCAGAAATAATGTTAAAATACTCTCTTATATATATTTAAAAAATAGCTAAACTAATAAAAATAAAATTTAAATATGCATTTTATATATCTACATATTTTTGCTTATCAAAAGACACAAAGTCGCAATGAACTCGATCGCCATCTTGAATTCCGCGGTTACCTGGATTACGGTACACAAATTGCACTCAATATCTACACTCTTTCTACGGGTGTCAGATTAAATCTAGCGTCAAAGATGTTTGAAAAGTCCGTGAACTTGCACTTGCATTATAAAACATCAAGTAAACACAAACATCCGCGATACCTATATATAGTACTGAAACTGAAAGCAGCAGAAAGTCTAGAGAGGTAAGAAACTGCGCCAAACTTGTCCTCTAGAATTTCCGGGACGTACATATTGAATAAAACCAAGTGTGAACCGAAATGAAAATCATATTTCTTTACATTTGAGATGGCCAGGAGCGAACCTTATGACATTTTAGTTTTTACATACAGAAATACGATGTTATAAAGATGCAAGATTCAGGCTGCATCAAAGAAAACAAGAAGAGGTCGAAACTTTGTGAAGGATCTTCAAATCATAGCTATGGACTGTGATTACGCGGTTAATGATGATGTCTTGGTTGACTTGATCATTAGTGGCGTCAAGCTTAAGAAAGTGTAAGAAAGATTGTTAGAATAAGGTTAGGAAATCACAATCAAGTAAGCTATAGAAATCGGAGAGCATTTTGAACTGTCGCAAGCACAAGTGAAATTGATGATAGGAGAGGATTCACAAAAAAAACACCCCACCAACAACCATGCATCGTGTAACAAAAGTGTTAAGACTAGAAAACCAATAACTTTTTAACCAACTGACAATCCAAATTGTTCAAGTTGCAATCTGTGCCCAGCATTAGGAACCGTTTGCAGTTACTGTAAACAGCATACCACTGGAAGAAAGTGTGTCGGCGGAGGCTGAAACAGGTCAGGGTCAGAGGAAGAACTTCTTACTATTAGTATGTGTACTATTGTCAAGTTCGGTCGGGATGACAACTGGGGCGTTCATCATAGTGTCAAAAATCAGCAGGTTCGCTGCATGATAGTCACCGGAGCACGGACTAACATAATCACATCTGCTCAATTAGAAACTTTCGAGGATGCAAACTAGAGAATTCTAACAGGACTCTCAAGTCATTCAGCAACCATAAGATCAAATCAATAGAAAAAGGAACTCTTCCCATTGTCTACCTTGTTCGAAAACTAATGTTCACTTTGAAGTGGTCGACTAAGATTAAGAGAATATTTTCAGTGGTGATACTGCAGGTGCATTTGGATTGATATATGAAGCTGACCATGATCTGTAGACTCCAATATGCAGTTGAGACAACTACAGCAATAATAGAAACCACGAAAACTGTTTTCGCATGTCATGGACTTCCAGGGAAAGTTCTGCAAAGTGCGTGGAACTGAACAATTTACATGAAAGAACCAGCCCCTATTTCCAAAGCTCGAATGGCGAAGCTGAAGTAGCAGCACAAGCTATAAAAAGCCTATGGGAAAAAAGTGTGACGACAAGCAGTTTGCTCTGTTAGAGTTTCCTCTAGAAAACATATATCTGTCACTAGCTCAACTATTAATGGAAAAAGACCTAGAAACACTCTTCCAGCATCACAAGATATACTAAACCAGCATTACACGACCTCAGAAAAGTCAAGAAAAATGAGGCTTTTCCAAGATTGTGAAATATGTTGCCCCAGGGTCAGTGGTCCGTGTGGGTTGGGAAACTTTTGATTTTATAGTGGAAATGCATTTTTTCTTTGTTCCTCTGGTCTGCCTCTGGGTATTATGTAATCAAACTAAGCAATACAAATACATTTTTATACAAATACATATGCAAATAAGTATATAGTTATGATGAACAATAGCGCATCTTTCAAATTTTGAATTTCTTGGTATTTGGTTTAGAATACAAACAAAATTTATTGTTGGAAAGTTGTTACATGAACCTCAGGTGACCCATAAGTCAACAATCCATCACTGACTATGCTACGCTCCATATAATAAAAAGTCTAGTGAAATCAATATGACACTGGAGCACAGACTAACATACTCACATCTGCTCAATCAGAAACTTTCGAGGATGCAAACTAGAGAATTCTAACAGGACTCTCAAGTGATTTGAACATATTTTATTGTAATATAATTACAAAGGGATTGAGCACAAGTACTGAATACTTATAACGCCCTCTCCCTATACATGTAAATTACACATTGATATTATCACAGTTAAACATGCTATATACAGGATTCAGAATTTGCAAAAGTAAACAAATTGATGCATTTTGCATATATGTATAAATATATATATAAAAGTTGAACAATATATAGGTACAGTAATTAACAAGGAAATCTACCAGAATGCTTAATAAATGTTTGAACAAAAGAAAAGAGACGTTCATTCTCTGCAGCACTTAGTGATTCAACCCCCCATAATAAGACATGTGTATCTAGTATGTGGATTTTATCAAATTGTAAAAAATTATTTAAAAATTCATTTCTGGCGTTCGCATACTTTGGACATACGAAAAAATAATGATATGTGTCCTCAACTTTACCGCATGTGCACAAGGGACTTGATATTAAATTGCATCTATAAAGGTCGTTATTTAATACACAATTATGTCGTAGTCTGGTTTGAAGAACATTAAGTCTTCTGTTACCGTAATCAAAGTAAGAAGGTGGGGCAGATCTAGATTTTTTATTACTAATTTTAGATTTGAATTTTGACATTGACTGTAAATTTCGAGTTTCAAGTGGAATGGCGTTCCATTCGTTAACTACAGTAGGAATAAACGTAGACTTATAAGTTTGTAATCGACACTTTGGAATATCATAATTTTGAGAATTTCTTGTCGAGTAGATAGATGTGTTACAGCGCATATTTGGAAGGATGTCCATTAAGTATTCTGGCACTAAATTATTATGAAGTTTGAACATTGTTTTTAATCTAGCTTCTTGTCTTCTACAACTAAGCGGTTCCCACCCCGTTTCAAAATAAAGTGAATCTTTGGAAGCTATAGTTGTTAACCCTGTTACAATTCTAGCTGCATAAAGTTGAAGTTTTTCTAACTTATCACTATCACCTTGTTGACAGCACCCCCACACCACTGAAGCGTATTCAAGTTGCGGTCTTATGAATGATGTATACATGAGTGAGAGTGTTTTTCGATTTACTTTAAATTTTAATTTTTTCAAAAGAGACAATTTTTTGTAAGCAATAGACAGTATATTATCAATATGTGGTGACCAACTGGCATCGTGTGAAAATAGTACTCCGAGGTGTTTGTGTTCAGTAATGAAGTCTAAACTGAACTCTCAAGTCGTTCAGCAACCATAAGATCAAATCAATAGGAAAATGAACTCTTCCCATCGTCTACCTTGATCGAAAAGTAATGTTCACTTTGAAGTGGTCGACTTAGATCAAGAGAATATTTCCAGTGGTGATACTGCAGGTGCTCTTGGATTGATATACCGATACAAAGCTGGCCATGATCCGTTGACTTCAATATACCGTTGAGACAACTACAGCAATAACAGAAGCCATGGAAACAGTTTTCGCATCTTTCAAATTTTGAATTTCATGGCATTTGGTTTAGAATACCAAAAAATTCAATTGTTGGAAAGTTGTTATATGATACTCAGGTGACCCATAAGCCCTGTTTACACTAAGAGCACTGTAGAATTATATACAGATAATCAATTCCCTCAAAACTATATATGTACTCCGATGTTTTCGGGATTTGTTTTGTAATGGAAAGGCGAATTTTTACCAGCCAACAATCCATCACTGACTATGGTACGCTCCATATAAAGTCTGGTGAAATCAATATGATTTTTTTTTTGGTAGGCGCGTCTCTTTTTTTTTAGAAGGTCTTGTAGAGATTGAATTTTTTTTTTAAATTTAAGGATTCTGAAAATGATGATGTTTGTAAATGAAGTATCTGTTTATGACATACTTGTTCTATTATTTAGTTGAAATCAGAGGACAGTGGACATCCTGGTCAAGTTGTTCAAAGTCTTGTGATGTAGGAACGCAGATTCGAACAAAAATATCTGACGGGAGTACCACACAAGAGGAGCAGTTTTGTAATCTACAGTATTGTCCTGGTAATATCAAAATGTACTTCAAAAATGTTTACCACATACTTAATGTTTGTATATTATATATCTCAACTGATGATCAAGTTGACTTCGTGTTTGGGTTTTTAGGACCTAATCAATTCCCAAGTAGGCCTTCATGCACTATTAGGCTAGCTACAGAAGCCTAGATAGACCAAACTTGCTCGGTTGAAACATCTCGGGATTTACACTACCTGACTTGCTTTGGATGCTGGATTTGACTTAATTTTTTGGACAAGGAACCAGATTAAATTTTGTTCATGTCCATTTTAATAGTGCAGATATACACAAAACGAAAATATTTTTCGTTTTCTGGGAGTTATGCTTGATTTATCCCACTGTGCAAATAGAATATTGTTCAAGTTACTTTCTCATTAAAAACAGAGGTTGTCAAAGATTACGAAGCTCACCTCGAACTCGAAGTAAGGCGGTCTTACATCACTTGAAGATTCCGGTATTAGTGTGCATCAGTAGATAGATACTTTCTTAAGATTTATTGAGAATGAACTAGCTCTAAAAAGTTAACGTTGTAAATGATTATAAAAATGTAGAACAGATTTGGCATCAAGAGTAGTTTTAGAAATATTTCCATTTCTATTTTTTTCTTTGTCATAACTCTTTGAAAGTAAGGTTAGGAGCTAAGGAGGCCTAATGTGCTTGTAAATCTTGTGTGTCTGTCTTTGTGCCTGAGGCTAAGGAGGCCTAATATACATAAAATCTTGTTCGACTGTCTTTTTTATTTCACTATAAAATGGAAAATATACAGAATCCATATCTAGTTAGTAGTGCATGCCAGGAACATCAACGATAGCTGGAAACGTGGATAATTTATGCATAATATCCACGTGCAAATTACATGTATCCCACGCCGTTTCCAACTATCGTTGATGCCCTGATATACTCTACTTACTACATGTAGACAGTGATTCCTTACATATGCATCATAACACGCATTATCTATGCTACTTTGTTTACCAAAGGCATTATTTTTGCAAATTAATGTAATTTTCAGACCTCCGTGTACGTTGCACTGGAAGATATTGTCATGAGTTCGATGGTATGGCCGACTGTATAAGTAACGTTTGTATTTGTAAAGTGGGGCGTTACTCGTATCCATATGACTACAGCAGATATTATAACAAATATAACTGCTATCGTAAGTATATATCTGTTACATTTTTATATTAATAAAGAACAAGGGTGGTTAAATGTCATATACGAGGGGTGATCGAAAAGTTCACGAACTAGCTCTATATTTCCGAAACCACAATTCAGATCAGAATGCATGAACATTTTCTATAAATAGCATATGTAATGGAACGTTTCGCCTTGTGTTTGTGACGTCATAAGGTAGATCACTTGTGGCAAAAAAATGGTTGACTCAGTCGTATTCGAAAAACGAACGGCTGTAAAGTTAAACGTATATCTTGGAAATCCTTGTCAGAAGTTTATAATAATTTGTACACGGTTTATGAAGACAAAGACTTGCCAGAAATTTTGTCATTAATTGGATTGATTGTTTAAGTGAAGGAAGGGAGATGTTTAAAAATGATGTTTGTTCTGTTGCCCTGTGAAAGCAAACTGGGAAAGAGACGTGTCTTTGTTAAGTAATTTGATATGAAAGATCGCCAACTTACAGTTAGAAAAATAGATAAATAACTTTACAATAATATAATTATTAAATCCTTAAAATATCGTTTACTTTAGACTTTAAACATATCAGATATGATAAATTGAAGGCACTCATACTTTATCCACATGAAATAAACGACGCTCAAAAGACAGAGGACTTGGATTTTGATGGTCACCATGCTCATTCTGCTAAAGGATATTATTATCCACCCATACGATTGCCGTGATTAGGCCATTTCTGACAAATAGACTGTTTATGTTGTAAAAAATAACTTGCATAGTAAGAAATATAAGAGTCGGAAAGAATTTTAAGTTTCTGTGACAGAACGCCAAGGAGTATGTCACGTGACCTCCTACATCACGTGATCCGTGCATGGGCAGAATGGTTGGAGATGCGCATCAAATTCGGAGAGGACTACTTTGAAAAATTCAACACTGAAACCCTATATCATTTCTTTATTGGAAGTTATTCAATTAGTTCGCGAACTTTTTGATCACCCCTCGTATAACCCTAATACATAGGATGGTGTATCAAACACTTGTGGATATCATGAAAAATTGCTTTCACTCAAAATCAGTACAGGTTTAAAGAAGTCATTCAAGGCTACAAATTTAAATTTCTTTTAAATAATTTTTTAACCCATAATGTAAAAATATAATATATTTGTGTTGTTATTAAAACTTAATTAGGGTTAAAACTTTATTACAGAAACAAATGGACTGTTTATGTTGTAAAAAATAACTTGCATAGTAAGAAATATAAGAGTCGGAAAAAATTTTAAGTTTCTGTGACAGAACGCCAAGGAGCATGTCACGTGACCTCCTACATCACGTGATCCGTGCATGGGCAGAATGGTTGGAGATGCGCATCAAATTCGGAGAGGACTACTTTGAAAAATTTTCAACACTGAAACCCTATATCATTTCTTTATTGGAAGTTATTCAATTAGTTCGCGAATTTTTGATCACCCCTCGTATAACCCTAATATTACATAGGATAGTGTATCAAACACTTGTGGATATCATGAAAAATTGCTTTCACTCAAAATCAGTACAGGTTTAAAGAAGTCATTCAAGGCTACAAATTTAAATTTCTTTTAAATAATTTTTTAACCCATAATGTAAAAATATAATATATTTGTGTTGTTATTAAAACTTAATTAGGGTTAAAACTTTATTACAGAAACAAATGGACTGTTTATGTTGTAAAAAATAACTTGCATAGTAAGAAATATAAGAGTCGGAAAAAATTTTAAGTTTCTGTGACAGAACGCCAAGGAGCATGTCACGTGACCTCCTACATCACGTGATCCGTGCATGGGCAGAATGGTTGGAGATGCGCATCAAATTCGGAGAGGACTACTTTGAAAAATTTTCAACACTGAAACCCTATATCATTTCTTTATTGGAATTATTCAATTAGTTCGCGAATTTTTGATCACCCCTCGTATAACCCTAATATTACATAGGATAGTGTATCAAACACTTGTGGATATCATGAAAAATTGCTTTCACTCAAAATCAGTACAGGTTTAAAGAAGTCATTCAAGGCTACAAATTTAAATTTCTTTTAAATAATTTTTTAACCCATAATGTAAAAATATAACATATTTGTGTTGTTATTTAAAAACTTAATTAGGGTTAAAACTTTATTACAGAAACAAGTGTCTTTGCTTGTAGTGTCTTTATCCTACGTTGTTCCATGAATTATTAAAGATTTTAATTGAATGTTTGAATATGTTTTATTTGTATCATTCAGACATTACAAATACACAGTCTGTTATTGAAAAAATAAAACACATTTACTGAAAATACAGATATAATGATAATAATTCCGTATGGTTCATTTTACTTTTGAAAAAAAACTCTTGTCTCATACTCCAACGTTTATAAACTGCACTTTGAAAACACAAAATTGAAACTGATACAACTTTCAAAATTCATGCAAACCATAATTTTATGCATTTACCTCCACTTGGTAAATTCAAAATAGCTTTGAAGCAAGAATTACGCAAGTTAATTATATTTTTGGTCCAAAGCTGAAGTTGGAAACTGCATCATTCGACAGAGTCCACCATTTGCTCTGGCTCAAGTTCAATCGTTGAAATATGGATACATGTTACGGGGATGTGTTGCCAATGATAACCCTGACTATGAAGTACACGTGATTGGAATTTATGGAAATCCTTTCTCCGGGTACGATGTTGTGATACATCAAAGAGGGGAAGTCACAAAGCCTATTGTTCTTGTGTTATCGTCATACGAAGCAACCTACTGGTGGATTGACACAAGTGTTCACATACATTCCGTTATTTATGGAGTAAGATTTTTAACTTTCCCGCTTTTAAAAAAATCAATTTAATGCTTAATTACTAAGTATATCACTAGCAACGTAGCACGTAGGGAAAAGTTGTATGGAAAAAGGGAACTATAGTACATTCAGCTATTCAACCATTATTACTTTTATACGTAAGGTTTTTCTTTATTAATATCGAGTTTACACCTAAAATGTGTTTTATTCTTTTCAGAGCACTAGAGAATACCCATCTAAACCTATAAATTTTGTTGATGGCTCAAAGTGTGGTGCTTCAAACATTGTAAAGTGGGAAGGTTTTGGATCCGCCGATGGATCTGATACCGGAGGAGGGAACACAGTCAAAGTTCTACTAGACATAGAGAGAGTTTATGGACCCGTGACCTCCTTTTCGGGTGTTTACACGCTGTACTCCCCTAGAATCATCAAACTGGAGGTGGGAGGAAATCCACTACAGAAATCTCCAATTAATGGATTTAAGGTAACAAAAAATTGGATTGAGAACATCTACAGTTAAAATGTAGATGTATTTCTTTTTCATGATATATGCAACGTTTAATTGTAAAGGAGTACATGTACTATCGTTTAGTCCAGTAGAATCGGAAATAATAGGGGAAAATTATTTTTCACTATGAGGGGACGTTTTAGTATTTACTGTCATCAAATTTACCATAAAGCCTTTCTTAATTTATGTGTCGTCCCGAAAGAAGTCGCCTCGGGGACGACATATTGCGATTGTACGCATGTTTTTGTTGTCCAGGCTGTTTCTCGGAGGTGGCTGGGACAATCTTCCTGAAACTTTCCTCAAAGGACGGTCACTGGTTGTAGTTGTGTTGTGTGGTCATTCAGTTTCAAAATGGATACCGTTGCCATGGAAACCTGCAAAAAGCGACGATTTTTGTCCACAAGTGTTCTCTCTAGTCCCTTGAACATTCGTCATGAAACTTTTTTTATTTTAGTGATTGTAGTGGTGCGATTCGCATTTAAAATTTTCAAATAATCGATTATTGCCATGGAAACCAGGGAAAAGTGAAAATTCTTAAACTTTGATTTTTAAATAAAAGTACTGAAAGGACTGATACGAGTTGATGGTTTTCCAAGCTTAGCTAATGGGTATTGTTTAGTGATACAAAAAATGAAAGTCTTGTGCAGTTCGGGACGACATACGCTATTGCTTGCAATAGCAGACTTTCTAGTTCAATTTTAATGTTTGATAGAACTTTTCTGAATATTAGTAGGTGATACCACCTATTCAGTCAAATACTCACACGTCATATGTAAAAAATGTTTTTCTTTGTGTTTGTTCAAGGTCCCTTCAAGAATTTTCTCTAGCAAGTTAAGATTTTTAATCGGTGCATACATGTAGTGTCTATGACCTATGATGGATCTTTTTTGTGCTAGCACCTTATGTAACACAGGGCCTCAATTTTTACAATTTCATTCTGAAGGATCGATGTCCACGTCCTGCAGTGGGATGGATTCGAGGCCTACATTTAAGTCTCAACTCCCCTTCTGTGACCATAGAATGAGCACTCTGACCACTGCGCTCATGTAAAATATACAAACATAAAATCACTATTTCAGGCTTGTCATAAAGGATATGAATTTGAAAACAAAGAATACACAATTTAAAGTAATAATTTTAATTGCTAGAAAATTATATTTCTACATATGTTAAAGTTTGATAAAAGGTACTCACTTTTTAATCTATTTTATTTCATTCAGTACAATGGTACAGTGCAGTGCGAGTTGGTTACTCCTAAGTACTCTGTGGTGACCTCAACAAGACCTACAACCACGTTATCGGACAAAGAAACTAAGGAAGAGGAGGGGAGTTCAAGTAGTAAGTATACAAGCTATATATCGATAGTAAGTATATAGGATATACACAGGTCGTCGCCCGGGTGCCGCAGTGGTTAAAGAGTCTGCTCTAGAGTCGAGAAAGTAAGGAGTTGATCTTTATGTCGCGGGTTCGAATCTCACTGTTAGACGCAGAGACGGGTCCCCCCTTCGGATGAGACCGTATGAACTGAGGTCCCGTATAGATCATATGAACAGTACGTACTGGGCCCTGCTGACAAAGCAGGTAACAACATTGTCGTCGTTTGTAAGGCTCTTTATATAAATTGTTTTTTAGAAGAACTTGGATATAATTCTATAAGTGGTTATCCAACTTATATCATAGTTCCCTTTCTAAGGAGAAAAAATTCTTCAAAATCGTATGTTAGTTTTGAATATTTTTGATATCCCAAACAACCAAAATGAATTTGAATTACCATATCTGTATTGGATTCCGAAACTTCATAATCTCCTCACAAACATAGATACATAGTCAACAAAATAAACAGCTTAAAAAAATGACTTTTCAACTTTATTCACAACCATTCCCCACGATAAATTAAAGTCCAAGCTTTTTGATATCTTTGAAAGCTGTTTTTTTTAATAAAAATGGAACTCGTAAATTTACTTACTTTATCATTGGTCATTTGAAAAATTATTTGTTAAGAAGAAACTAGTAAATTTACTCACTTTATCATTGGTCATTTGAAAAATCATTTGTTAAAAATCATTCTGATTCTACACACAAGTACATATACTCTGAAGTTGACATCAAAAAGATATTTCAGTTTCTGATTGACAATATCTATGTGGTTTTAGAGACCAGGTCTTCCAACAATCTATTGGAATTCCCATGGGTACCAATTGCGCCCCATTATTAGCAGGCCTATTTTTGCATTCATATGAAGCAGAATTTGTCCAAAATCTTGTACTTGAAAAGAAGAAAAGTTGACAAAATGTTTCCAAGCATGCTATGATTATTGACCCCTTGACTTTGACCTTCACAATTGATCTATTTTTTTTAAATTCAACTTCGGTGATAACTTCTGAATGACATATGATAGAGCGTTCATATTTGACACAACATGCTATAAAAATGACATCTCACCCACAAAGACACCGAAAGCGTGGAACCACAATTCTCTGAATTTGTATAATTTTCTCTTTTCAGGTATTGTCATCATTATTCCAATTGTTACAGTCGTATTAGTATCTGTCTTTGTCTGTCTGGTTATTATGTGTTGTGTGTATAAGAGAGATAAGTCCTCACGCTACATATCTACATGGCAGACAAACTCTAGTCCTAGACCTGCACCCCAGACCAGATCTTACCCCATTTATGAAATATCGGACAGAAATGGTACTTCACTGTTTAATACAGGTACAGAAAACAGAATTATTGATAAAATTTAATTTTTAACATTTAAAAAAGTAATTATCTTAAGAAGAATATATATATAATTTAAATATGATTTTAAATGCTTTCCTTATTGTCCCCGCTTTTGCTAAAGCAAGGGAGCATTTATTAAATATCATTCGTCTGTCAGTCTGTCCATCCATCATAAAAACTTTAACCTTGGTCATTTCTTATGAATGAGAAGAGAAAGGGCTTTCATATTATACATATGAATTATCTGTGATGTGATGTTTCTAAATACACTATGATTTTTTGACCCCGTGACCTAGACATTGAAGTTTGACCTACTTTGAAAAATTAAACATTTCTTACAATTGACCAAAACTTTTGAATGAGAAGAAATAATACTTTAATTTTAAACATTTGCATTACGCGTGACCTTTTTTTAAATACACTATGATTTTTGACTTTGTGACCTTGACCTTAAAGTTTTATCTACTTTTCAAAAATTTTACCTTGGCCATGACTTTTGAAGGAGAAAAGACGGATTTCACATTAAGCTAGGTATTGCCCCTGACAGGACCTATCTAAATACACTGATTTTTTTACCCCGTGACCTTGACCTGAAAGTTTGACCTACTTTTCAAAAATTTTAATTTTGATTGAGAAGAGATAGGGCTTTCATATTTGATATGTGCATTACCTGTGACAAGATATTTCCGAGCATCTATGATTTCTGATCTGAGCCCTTTACCTTCACGACTGATCTAATTTTTAAAATAAAATCAACTTCGGTGATAACTTCTGAATGACATATGATAGAGCCTTCATATTTGACACAATATGCCATAAAAAATGACATCTCACCCACAAAGACACCGAAAGCAGGGGACCACAATCTTTTAAATTTGTTGATATATTACAGATTTGTCTACAACCCAAATAACACCACAGGTTAACTCGATCGTAAGGCCTACGTCCGCTATGTCAACAGATGAAGGCTTGTCAGGCGATGAAAATCCAGTCCTAACACTGGCTGATCCGCCCCCATCTTACTCTTCAATTGTCCCAGATACTCCAGAACCGAGGACAAAGTCACCTTCCAATAAGCCATTCCCTGATACAACCTCACACGAGCAGTATCATAATTCTCCAGAGCCACCGCCACCAAGCTATTCATCTTATATGCAACAAGAAAGGCTTTAAACTGTCCAATACAGAAACTCTATGACTGATATTTTGAAGGGAAAAAAACACATTCCTGGAAGAGGAAATAATGCTATGTATCATTTAAAGTACCGGACTGGTGGCTCCAACAGTTTTAGATGATACAGATCTGAACGGAAAGATTGAAAAGATCAATGGTTTTCATGCTTACAAAAGTAGATGTTGGTTTCATTTGGAACAATTTTTATACGGGTAGTAAACTGTGATCAATATTACACGATATGTTTATATTGTAAAATTTACATTTTATAAAAATGTCCCAGTTAAACTACGAATATTAAAAATACTTGATTTCTACATAAAGCCAATGGTTCATCGATAGGCCTGGTTAAAGCCATAAATGGCGTATGTACAATGAAAATTATTAGACTAAAATTATAAGAACTTATTATTTGTATCATTACTTTATATAAAGATAGAACTTGGTTTAAATAACAAATTACAGAGAAGATAAAATCGTATTATTAAATGAAACGAGGTGTTCTACATTGTTAAAATTTACTTGAAAAGCTTTAATTTAAATGTATTAACTATATTTCTTTACTTAATTTTGTATTTTTCAAAAATATATTTTTTTTTATCAGTTACGCCATATATGGCTTTAAAAATCACGTGCAGCGGGACTGCGAGACAGAAATGGGCGGAATTTGAAGCATTTGATTTACTGGAAAATGGCACTGAATTTTAAAGTATTGAATGCTTTCATTTTCAGAATCTATGATAGCTATACTACACTCCACAAATAAGTATCCAAAGTTATTTTTTCACAATTTTTAATTGAAAAGAAAAAAGTCAATGGAATACCAGTAATTGTAATTGTAATTGTAATTGTCTTCCATAAAAAAAAAGAAAAAGAAAAAAAAAATACTCTATGCTGAGCATTGTACCAATAGAATGAGAAATCTGTTTTTAGATAAAAATAATTTTTCAATTTACATATGTTTTGTGAAACTTCTTCTCTACATAATTAGAACCATTCCCAGTAAGCTTTTACTTTCAATAAGGCGCGGCATTCTGATGCCAATTTCGGCGCTACGTAATTAGCGTCTGTCAAATGGCGAATAGATTCTCATTGGTTAAGAAATTAATAACATCAGGAACTAAATTGTTGTTTATTCTATACATTAATTGACATTTAGCTGAATTTCTATCCCACTTAAATTTCAACAGTGAAGGAAAGCTGTGTAAATTTCAGAAGCTAATTATGTAACGCCGTGAATGCTACGCCTTACTGAAAGTCCAAGCTAAACTGGGAATTGTCCTAAATGGCATTTGTATCGTAATAATCTTAGGCTTTTATTTGCCTATTTTGAGTATTTAAAAGACCAGAAGTCTCTGTCGAGACTGTAGCTCTACTGGTTTATACTTAAAACAAAGGAAGAGAAACTTGAAACTTTAAAAACAGCAATTAATAGAAAAATGATCCTTGCCACTCATCAAAGCAAAAACCGATGCACAGAATTATGTATCTTAGTGTAGTCTACTTGTGTGCCAAGTTATATTGAAATCAGGCCAAAACTGTCGGAGGAGTAGTGTTTTAAAGGAATTTCACAGAAATTTTTATTTTTAGTAACCATGGCAACATCGTTCATCGAAATCAAAAACCGATGCACAGAATTATGTATCTTAGTGTAGTCTATTTGTGTGCCAAGTTATATTGAAATCAAACCAAAACTGTAGGAGGAGTAGCATTTTGAAAGAATTTCAAAGAAATTTCTATTTTTAGTAACCATGGCAACACCGTTCATCGAAATCAAAAACCGATGCACAGAATTATGTATCTTAGTGTAGTCTACTTGTGTGCCAAGTTATATTGAAATTGGACCAAATCTATAGGAGGAGTAGCATTTTTAAAGAATTTCAAAGAAATTTCTATTTTTAGTAACCTCGGCAACACCGTTCATCGAAATCAAAAACTGATGCACAGAATTATGTATCTTAGTGTAGTCTACTTGTGTGCCAAATTATATTCAAATAGAACTAAAACTGTAGGAGGAGTAGCATTTTGAATTATGTATCTTAGTGAAGTCTACTTGTGTGCCAAGTTACACTGAAATCAAACCAAAACTGTAGGAGGAGTAGCATTTTGAAAGAATTTCAAAGAAATTTCTATTTTTAGTAACCATGGCAACACCGTTCATCGAAATCAAAAACCGATGCACAGAATTATGTATCTTAGTGTAGTCTACTTGTGTGCCAAGTTATATTGAAATCGGACCAAATCTGTAGGAGGAGTAGCATTTTGAAAAATTGTTTACAGACAGACAGACAGACAGACGGATGGACCCACGAAATGCAGGTTATGTGATTGACAAATTTATGTGACTTTTTCCAAATTTATGTGACTTTTTCCAAAAAAATTATGTGGCGCAAAACATGATACATGGGGTAAGGGAGGTAAATCTCAAAACCTTTTGACGGACGTCCATATACGGACAATATTGTCCGTATTTTTTTATGTGACACTTCTTTAGAGTGATTTTTAAGTCACATAACACTCATTTCTGCTAAAAAAAATCAAATTTGTATGTGACAGTCACATAAAACAAAAGAGTCACATAAATCTTAAATGGGCACAAAAACTGTCACTTAACCATTATTTCGTGAGAACGGACGGACGCCGGACGCATTACTATCGCATAAGCTCTTCTGGTCTCTGACCAGTAGAGCTAAAAAAATAACATAAAGAATTTTAATAACCAGCAACAGTTTAAAACATGGAAAATTGCATATGATGGGTACCAAAAAATTGAGATGGGACGACTGACGTTAGAAAAAAGGATCTCTGCAACCTGCTGGATCAAAAAGGAAACAAGATATCGGAGATTGCCTGAAGACTTGGAACTATAAGGTCAGTGATCAGTTTTGTTTGAATTTTAATTTTTTTAAAAACATATTGCTTGAATTCCGGACACCTTGCAAATGGCCCTTTCGGGACACCATAATTAGAAGTGATAACGCGCTAGTGCATTGTTAGCATTATCGTGATCAAAAGCGATAACGCGATGTCACTTTACACAAACACGTTTTTGCTAACGCGCAGGAACTTTTTTGCAAAGGCCCCATCATTCCAGTGTGCAATTTTTGAAAAGAAAGCTTTTAAACGGTGTCTGTACGAATAAATATTTACATTTTCAATGTCTGTGTCCGAGATAAAATTACAAATGTACTTTATTTCCCCATCAATGTATTGGCGCGGTTCAAAAAAAACCACGTGCAGGGCGGAACAAACAGCGAGACAGAAGCAGGGCTTGGGGCACGTGGATTGGTGGAATCAAAGCATGTAAATATAAGAAATAACTGTCAGATTTTTCAATATTATGACGATGATCAATCGATTGGCTTGCGTGATAATTTTATGCATGGCGTTTATACAAATTATCACGCAACACAATCGATTGATCACATCATGAAATCGAAAAATAAGACAGTTATTCCTTAAAAGCACTCAACCAAATCAAAATTAACAATACTTAAAACGGATGTACGTCATAACATGGAGGTATCCCGTTTACCTTGAAGGGATTTTAAAAAAAAAATTATTGTGAATATCGGCCCTTTATAAATTCAATTGACTAGCTTATAATATCGGGGTTTTTAATAATTTTCTCTCATGACTTGTAAATCTTGGCGTGTTAGGAATTCTCTACACGAAATAATCATTATTCTTCTCAGTGTTCATAGGTTTTAACTTCATGATATTCTATTTATTCCAAAAGATTAATTTCCTTACAATCAATTTTTAAGTCATTCATACCAGGGAGTCCCTTTATTTATTTCCTGTTCAATTATGTAAACAGCATTATGATAATTTTAAGACGTTGATGGTGGACGGGAATGCGCATTACATAAGGTACCACGATATTTCAAAATGGAAAGGTCCTTATCTCGACGTAATCTATATACACTGTATGTGATACCGCGATATCGGTATGGGTTATTCCTTCATGTAAGGAGTTATGAAAGATTACTTTAGATTTCTAGCAAAATTAATGAGAAAAAAATAACACTGTACTTAAAAAAACTCTGATATGAAAAAATTCTACATTTGTCCTAAAAAAAATGAGCAGCAATGAACAGAAGGGAATTTGTCCGGAACAGCTGTATTGGGTGACAAACTTCTAAAGTCATCGGCCTTTGTCTAGCATAGAGAATCTTGTAAAGTTTGAGCGGCATTTGTCAAACACAATACTTCTTGTAAAGTCTTCTGCTAGAACCACAGGGAATTCGTCCAGTGCAGTGTTTATGGTAATGCAGCTAAATTAAGTGGGGTTGTTAAAAGTATTGCTTCTGGTAAAGTCTGTGCATTGAGCGGCTTTTGTCCAGAAACATTATTTCTTGTGAAGAAAGATTTTCCCAACACACTGGTTCAGTAGCATTGAGCGACATTGGTCCAAAACTGTCAGTGGCCTTTATCTAACACAGGTCTTGTGAAGTCAGTGGACTAGATGGAATTGTCCAGCACAACACCTCTGTTTAAGTCAATGGCATTGAGCGACAGATATCCAAGTAATTTAATCATATTCAGGCATTTTTATCAGTGACTTTAATGAACTATATGAGACAGATTTGGGCTTTGAAATTCAACGATTTAGGTTTCCCAACAGAGATTTTAATGTAATATTAAAGTTTTTATCCATGTTTTACTTCGTTTGATTCAGAAGTGAATTGTGATCGATGTTCAGTATAAAATATACTAATCAAATTTTTTTTTTCAATTAGTTTCTTTGATTTTACTGAAAACAGTTTGGAAAAAAGCACTGAAAAGCTATAATGAGGGGTTAAAATCAATTAGTGGATTTTATTGCCAATTCCATTCAAAATCTGAAAATAAAAAAAAGAAAAGAGTCCAAAGTTTTAAAGGCATAGAAGAAGACAGTCCTGTTCGATCGGACGGATCATCAATAATGTGAATACTATTGCGGTGCATACTAATCACATCGCCAGATTTCCAGGACCAATGCAGATCATTTGACTGCTAGTACTTATTGGGATAAATTTAAAAGTTGTTTGGATTTTACAAAATAAACATCGAACAGGCTGAATGTAAAGATGATTCTCTCGAGAAACTTATTGTTGGCATTTAAATGTTTCTGTTTGTGTAAGTATGTGTCTTCAATGATTTCCTTAATTAACTTTACCCTTAATCATGTGAATTGTGTCTATTATTGTACCTGTATTATTTTGTTCATATCTGATGGCATCAGACTAACTTACGTGGTGTAAAAACTTTCAAGAATGCAAACTATATGTTGCACATCAATTTATTTAATAAGTGTTTGAAAATTTCTTTTACACCACAAAGTTAAAGAAGCCAATTAAAACCCTATATATGGAATTTTTGTTGTTGTTATTTTAATTAATAATCTAGATTGTCTTAGAAGATACATGAAATCAATTCTTTCCAACGAAGTTTGAGATTTCTTACACAAAACGTGTACTAGTTGGTAGACAGGTTTTAGAAATTTAAAAAAGGCGTGGGATTTCCAGAATGAAGTGATTTTTCTAAGAAAAATATTTTTGAGAGTCAGTTATTTTTCTTTATCTTATTTTAAGGACATGTAATAATACAAATAATCTTTTTCAAAAAACGGGTGATACAAACAGAGGTACTGTACCGAGCTCACTATATACCCTCCTACTTCTCCAATATGTATAAAATGGCAGTGTCCATGTTTTGCTGTGGGAAACTCAAAATATGTGTCGGATCAAAAAGTAAAAATAGGAGGTGCACAATGGCAATATGTAATCACTGAAAGAAAAACCTAGTGAATTTAACTAGTGTGTTTCGTAAAGCGTTGGTCGTGATTAGTAAACTTTCAGTTTACTGGTTTATATATCAGTTAAGCTAATTACAAGCGGGGGTCTTTTGTATATATATTAGATACCTAGTGAAAGTTACTCATCAATTCTAAATTTACTAATCTTACCTAGTAAATATACCAATATCTGGTAAAACTACTATTAAGGTAGTGATTGTATGGACAGTGAATCTACTAGTTATTTTTTTTTTTACAGTGCTTAAGATTCTTTGAAAGTTTCATCAAATTTCATTCAGAGGTCTGAGAGGAGTTACGGATAAGAGATGGGTACCCCAAATCGTACAACAGACGGACGGTTCCTCCAATTTGCGTATACGGACATACCGATGCTTGGTGTACTATGAACCCTATTTTTAAGCGGGGGGTAAAATAAACTTTTATCAAAGCGTAACGGACGGACGTACGGACAGACGGGCATCCCGATCACTATATACCCTCCCACTTCTCCAGACCTGCCTACCCTTTTCATTTCAAGGGTGTAATTTCAGGAAATTTTTGGTGGAATTTCAGAGGTGAAAGCGTAATCAATCATGTTTTCCTGTTTTGTTGTTAACTGTAAAGCCGTATAGCGGGTTTTTTGGCGGATGTAAATTTGCCGTTTTGCCTGCTCAAAGGTATGCCAATAATTATGGCGTAATTTATTTAAGCGGACAGTGTTTCAGCTCCTTGCTGTTAAACAATAAGAAGAGTACTGACTATTTTAGCGATTGAAATTTTAGCTGCCCGCTAAAATAACCCACTATACAATACTTTATTTTCTTTCATAACAACCGAAATGTACTTTACTAAAGAAAGCTGGTATAAACTTTTCTTTTTCGAATCATCTTTTTGCAAAAAGTGTAAAATACCACTGAGTATCCTAGTTTATTAAACTTAAATCAACTGTACACCCTTATTGAAGCGTTTGGTCAATTTGCATCAAATCACTAAATTGAAGACTTGCGTTTGCATGTTTACACAAATCGTAACACTGTATAATATTACATATTTTTAACATTCACATTTCTCTAATTTGTTCTAAGCAATGTTAAAATAAACTATTTGAGCATAGAAATGGCTGTACTTATTGCAATATCATATAATAGTCAACTAAATAAATTGCCATCTCATGTTCTTCCGAATCTTCGCCATACCAGTTAACATATAACTACTAGGTATATTACGTACGTTTTCGAACAGGTCCTCTAGCTATTACTATTATTAGAACTCCTCATTTCATTTAAGCAGTCGTACTTTGACTCTTTATTTACACGTTCATAATGGATTTTAATCCAAAATATCGAAAGCGTAAAATTAAAATACGTGGCGTAATAGCGTAATTTTGTGGTAAAAAGCGGAAGAATTACGCCAAAAGCGGAAGGGTAGGCAGGTCTGCTTCTCAAACGGGTGGGTGTGTTATAAAAATATATACTAATCCAGGCACCCATATTTTTTATTGTATCATCTGTCCTTAAAAGACACGGTCGGTTCGAACACTTTATAGATTTTACTTGATACAAGTGTTTATATATATATATATATCATTTAATGAAAATTTGGAATAAAATAATGCAATGTTTAATGAATCTCATTTCCTGTTAAAGATATAACAAAGTTTGTTTCAAAGATGCAATTTCCTACATGGTTAGTTCAGTCAATTTATCACTGAGCATTAAGCTAATTACAACAGAAATTCCTTTTGCTATAAATAATCTACATGAAACTATATTTAGTGAACAAAATAAATGTCGATCTCACAAACAAGCCAGAAACTATTATTGTGAATAATCTTCTAGGGTCTAGAAAATATGAAATAATCCCATAAAGGAATAGAACACCTCTATATTGTCGGTTTCTACCGACATCATTATTATGCCAGGCCCATAGGAAGCAATTTCAGTTTTGAGGGGCAACGTTATATATTTTCATTTGGGGGCACTATCAACTACCAGAAATTCCTTGACAAGCAAGAAAAAATAGTATACTGTATGTTTTCTAAATATATTATATATCGGCAGAAATATAAGGGGGGAGCCTGACATGATAAATCTTTTCCACTTTTTTCAAGTTTTATTGTGAATGACTTTTCTTTATTGCATGCACTTGCACTTTAACATCTACTATTTTCTTAATCACTGTCTGCGTTAAATATATTTTACAATTTTTTTAAATTACAGAGAAAATAAAGAATGTCTGTCTACCTGCCTGTCTGTTACCAAACACTCTAGGCGTATTCTTATTCCTCCAATTAAGTGCAGGGCATCGCACTTCAGTCTTTGCTTGGTGTGACATGTGAAATGTTATCTTCAATACAGGTTAAAAACTGGGTAAAATCGCCAATGACTTATGAGGGATCTTTTTCGTGCCAGCACCTACTGCGACACGGGACCTGGGTTTATACGGTCTCGTCCAAAGGACCGGTCTCCACTTCCCACAATGGGATTCGAAGCCGGGACGTAATCTCTTATTTGGGAATACATTTCAGCCACGTAGCACCGGGCAGGCAGAGAATTTTTTTTTGACTTACCTAAAAAAAAAAAAAGACCAATTACTCAATTGTCCAAACTCGAAAATCCTATTTCGCGGGGTGGGGGGGGGGGTGGGGGGGTGTTAAATTCTTTCAATGCCAACTTCTTTCAGTGCCAATTTTGGAATTCAATATTACATTTCCCTGTTATTAATTCCCTGTAGTACAAAGTGAGGGGGCCAACCAGTCTTTCAATGAGCATTTCCAATAGTAAAAGTAACGTTTGGAAAAGAAGTGGGGGGCCAGCCCTGGGTTTATACGGTCTCGTCCAAAGGACCGGTATCCACTTCCCACAATGGGATTCGAACCAGGGACGTAATCTCTTATTTGGGAATACATTTCAGCCACGTAGCACCGGGCAGCCAGAGAATTTTTTTTTTGACTTACCTAAAAAAAAAAGACCAATTACTCAATTGTCCAAACTCGAAAATCCTATTTCGCGGGGTGGGGGGGGGTGTTAAATTCTTTCAATGCCAACTTCTTTCAGTGCCAATTTTGGAATTCAATATTACATTTCCCTGTTATTAATTCCCTGTAGTACAAAAGAAAGGGGGCCAACCAGTCTTTCAATGAGCATTTCCAATAGTAAAAGTAATGTTGGGAAAAGAAGTGGGGGGGCCACCCCCCCCCCCCCCGTTGCAACGTGCCTGCATTTTAAATAATTTTACTTGATTGATATAATTTCAGTAACGTTTTCTTTACAGGTAGAGTCGTATTCGTTGAATCAGCATGTCAAGACTCTCATTTCAAATGGCCCTTCCTACCCACTACATGCCATCTAGAAGTCCTTAAATCTAACAACAGTATCATTGGTCCTTCGTGTCCGCTAAGTTTTGCAGATAGATATCCAATAACGAATCCCTCTAACAAGTCAGTAGAAATTAAGCCCGGTTTCTTTTTTGACGTTGATGTTCCTCTAATCACAATAAACATAGACGACTATGGTATTTCTTTATACGTTTATCCAACGAGTGATTCTGGTACAATATTTGATTACCAGTCAGAAGACGAGACCTTCCGAATGAAAGTCTGGCTGGATGGCGGAAACCTTAGAGCCTCCAGACGGATTACAAGGAATGTGTTTACGTATTTGGTCAACGAGGAAGCCAACCCGGTCATTTTAAACCAATGGCAAAAAGTAGGCGTGTCTGTGGACAGCAGCGCTAAGAGTCTGAGAACATTTGTTGCTGACAGCCTGGAGATTAGCAACGACAGCCCCAATCAAAAGAGTATAGATGGTGACAGCGACGATGCAAATAGACAAATCGTAACCCCCGGGAAAATGCGAGTAGGGGCCTCTTTCAATGAGAGTGATCCCCGCACTTTCACTGGACTAGTAACTTGCCTAGGCATGGTTCTACACAAAGAATTGGACTGCTTTACAGACTGTGCATCAACTGGGAATTGGAGAAATAGTAAGTATTTGCACATATTTAAGAAAAAAAAAACAAAGTTATTGGGAGAACAAAAGCAATGGATTAATTTTAAATTAAAATTATTATTAAATTTAAACAGTCTTGAAATAAAGCTTGGAATTGAAATCTTTAGGTGCAGCAATTTTCATTTCCCGTATCTCATGATCGGTATGATCCATCGTTCTCTCAAGTCTAGACTAAGAAAGGTCAAAAATATTTATATCCTTAAAAAAGTCTTATTACAGAGAATACACATGTGAAGCATGGAAGCCCTAGCACGAACTGTTCAAGTTATGTCCCGGGTTAAAGTTAGATAAATTCTTGCAATTTTGATAAAACTCCAAGGTCAATGTCAAATATGTTGGTACCTAAAGAAATGTCCTGTCACAAGAAATACACGGGTGAGTCGCGGCTCCATGCAATCAACCAAACGTTATGGGCATTTTAAAGATTTTGAGATAAACAGCTAGATAGACGGATGGACTGAGCAAAAAGTATACTAGTATACCCCCGAATCCTCGAGTACGGAGGCATAAAAAGCATATACTTTTATTCCTGAAAATATGAAATTTGATTATTGTCTCTATATAAAATGATGTTCTTTGCAGAAATAAACATTACAGATTACTTGCTGAACTCATGGATAATTTTTAGCGTTTTCTTAACTGTTGATTTTCATACCTGAGGATTTGATGATACCTTAAAAATTAACATCTGATTTTCTTTTTCAGCTCCAACTTTTAGCGACGCTGACAAATTGCATTACGCCACCTTCTCAGGTGTACAATTCGATAAGATGCCGATCACCACGCCCATCTACCAATCAGTAACGAGATCACTCACCACGTGCGCGATCACGTGCCTCAGAGACTTTATCTACTGTCGATCTTTTACATTCCAATCCCAGTCCAATACCTGTTCTCTATTCTCTGCCATATACACACAGTCTTTTGAATTCACCACACAAGCTGGTCATATTTACTACAAACTTCTTAGCTAGATAGATATAGTAACCTACTATCTGGTGTCGGAATTTTAAGCAAATTGAAAAAAAAAACATTTTAGCTCACCTGAGCCGAAGGCTCAATGAGCTTTTCCTTTCATATTTTGTCTGTCTGTCTGTAAACTTTTCACATTTTCGACTTCTTCTCAAGAACCACTGGGCCAATTTTAACCAAAGTTGGTACAACGCATCCTTGGGTAAAGGGGAGTTTAAATTGTTCAATTGCAAGGAGAGATAAGCAAGAGAAGACAAAAATAGGGTGGGGTCTTGCTAAAATCTTCTTCTCAAGAACCACTGGTTCAGAAAAGCTGAAACTTATGTGTAAACATCCTGGGATAGTGTAGATTCTAAATTGTTCAAATCATGACCCCCGGGATTGGGCGGGGCCACAATAGGGAATCAAAGTTTTACTTAAAAATATATATATATATATAAAATTTTGAAAATTTTCTTCTCAAGAATCACTGGGTCAGGAAAACTGAAACTTATGCATCCTGGGGTGGTGTAGATTCTAAATTGTTCAAATCATGACCCCCCGGGGATAGGACAGGACCATTACTTGGAATCACAATAGGTTATTATATGGGGGAAATTTGGTAAAAAAAAAAACCAAACATCATAGTTAAAGCAACTCAGGTGAGCGATGTGGCCCATGGGCCTCTTGTTAAAAAATGGAGGGCTAGGTATTTTTCATACATTTTTTTAATCTGAATTTTTTGAAATCCAAGACAATTAAAATCCAGCTAGTTTATCCCCAATAGAGACGACTATAAATAGTTGGGAGGTGGATAAAATATACAGATCGGTTAAAGAATATTTCAAATATTTGGGGATTGAAAGAAAGGTAGTTAATTGACTAATGCTGTAATTGGAAAAATTCTCCCTAACAGTGCGCAAAAACTTTGCGCCGTAGATTGCAGTTTGGCATAGAACTACTCCCCTTAAATGTCAAAAAATGCTGATGCACGTTTTACTTTTAACATTTTAATAAAGCAGGTCAAACCCTTTAGGGACAAGGTCAAGGGTCACGAGGTCGATAACCATGGCAATTTACAAATTTCATAGTGCCAAGCAATTAGGTGTGTTCCCGTTTCGCCTTAACTGTGAAATTCGGGTAAGAAAAAGTTAAAAAGTACTAAGGCGAAATGGAAATTTTAGTATTTGTAAATATTATCACTGGTTTGATAAAAAAATTTAAATGATAAAAATTTTTAGATTGAATTTAACAGTGAATGAAATAATACAAGTAATACCAAATATTTAAAAAAAAAAAACTTTATGCTAAATATATTAAATCTTCATCACCTTAATTCACCTGAGAACTTACTAAGGCGAAATGGGAATGCTAAATTTTACAGTTAATGCGAGATGGGAACACACCAGCAATTAATGTGCAAAAATATCAAGTCCATATGAGATACAAGGTGTGACAGACGGACGGACGGACAGACAGACAGACGCCGGGTAAAGTGATCCCTTACCGCAGGCGACACAAAAACTATACTGCTATCTAGTACAGTTCTGCAGCTAGGTTGAAACCTTATCATCACAGATGTCATTTTTTTTTAAAGAAATTTTTCCTAAGAAAAGTTGTGTTTATCATTATTTAATAAAAATAATAAAACAGTAGTTAATTTTAAGTTCAGATTGAATATGTTATTTTGTTAACTCGTCTTCTTTAGTAGTGCATGATTTTGTATATCTATTCAAAAATTTATTAGCCAATCTTTTCAGTGAATTATTTTGTATTTATGTATATATTTTTTAATCTCATAATTATTTTTGTAATATGTAAAATCATTTTGTTTATAGAAATAAATAAATTGAAACTTAGTTTTGACTATAATGACTTGTAAAAAGGATATAAAGTTTGAAGATATTTTCTATAAAAAAAAAAAATAATAATTTGCCAGTTTAATGATGACCTTTTAACGGGAGAGTTGATGATCTTGTACTAATTTTGTAAGTATTTTCTAACATTTTTCTGAATCAATGTTTTATTTGTTTTGTTTACGGTTCATATTAATGTTTTCATTATCTGTCTCTATACGATTTGATACAACAAGAAATGCAGTAAGAAAAAAATTGCAAAATGCTTCTATAGAACTACAAGGACGAAGAAAGGACCATTCTTGGAACGTTCCATCTGGGTGTAACTTTTCGGTTTTATATTTTTTTATTTCATAAATTTACACGATTTTGTTTTTTATTACAAGAAAATTTTACATTATTTTTCTTGCAATATTTAGCAAAGAACTCTATACATCTTAAAAGTATAAAAGAAATCTTGCAAACAATAAAAAATTTTTAAACACACGAACACCCGGTTTAAACACACGAACACCCGGAAATGGTGAATATTTTCGACACTATTGTTGATCAAAACGTAGGCAACATTCCTATCGCGGTACGGTACGTTGTATATATGTTCACATGACGGATAGGCCTACCTATGAATGGAATATATTATTATTATTTTTATAAAGATTTATATTTACACAAGTTTAATTAAAAAAAGTTATGTTTACTTTGTAGTTTTACTCTGTGTTCTTTTCTTTAATTTGTCATTTTTTTTTTAAAGTTTAAAAACGATATTTCTTTATATTTTTTTTTCTTCATTAGATATGGCTGCTAACATTTATAAATAATTCTTATATTGAAATATTTCAATTATTTCAAGTAGTTTCACTCAAATTTAGACAAGAAACACGGAATGTTGACCCTGATCGCCAGACACAGACTTCCTGTGTAATGCTACGTATACACAGATTTTTGACATCTTGGGTATTGGGGGTCTGCAGGTAAATAACACCACTGTTACTTGGACCACTCCCCCTCCTCAGGTAACCGTACGGTAAAAAAATTGGGTCTTTAAATTGGTAAACATATACGTTTCATGGTAGACGGTTCAGCTAATAATTCTCAATTTCCGAGGCCAATTTCATTGTTTTAATTAACACAATATTAAGCTACGTTGTTTTGATGTGAGGTTGCATATATTCCCATAGTTGTGTTTTTAGCTCACCTCAGCCGAAGGCTCAAGTGAGCTTTTCTGATCACATTTTGTCCGTCCGTCTGTAAACTTTTCACATTTTCGACTTCTTCTCAAGAACCACTGGGCCAATTTTGACCAAAATGGTACAAAGCATCCTTGGGTGAAGAGGAATTAAAATTGTTATAATGAAGGGCTAAGTCCCCTCTAAAGGGGAGACAAGACAAGAGGCCCATGGGCCGCATCGCTCACCTGAGAAGCGTTGACCATTCTGTTCTTTACTAGATTTCCCCATTGTAATACATACTGTGACCCCGCCCTATCCCCGGGAGACATGATTTGAACAATTTAGCATCTACACTTCCCCAGGATGCCTCCAAATAAATTTCAGCTTTTCTGGTTCAGTGGTTCTTGAGAAGAAGATTTTTAGAGGTTTTCCCTGTATATTTCTATGTAAAACTTTGATTCCCCATTGTTGCCCCGCCCTACTCCCGGGGGTCATGATTTGAACATTTAAAAATCTACACTACCCCAGGATGCTTCCACATAAGTTTGAGTTTTTCTAGCTCAGTGGTTCTTGAGAAGATGATTTTCAAAGATTTTTCCTATATATTTATTTGTAAAACGTTGATTCCCCTTATGGAGTAGTATAGATTCTAAATTGTTCAAATCATGACCCCTTGGGGTAGGGCGGGGCAACAACGGGTAATCAGTTTTACATAGAAATATGTAGAAAAAATTTTCTTCTCAAGAACCACTGGGCCAGAAAAGCTGAAACTTATGTGGTAGCATCCTGGGGGTAGTGTAGGTTTTAAATTTGTCATATCATGACCCCGGTGGTAGGGGGGCACAATAGGGATTCAAAGTTTTTCATAGAAATATAAAGGAAAAATCTTTAAAAATCTTCTTAAGAACCACTGGGCCGGAGAAGCTGAAACTTTTGTGGAAGCTTACTGGGATAGTGTAGTTTTCAAATTGTCCAAATTATGATCAGTGGGGTAGGTGGGGTCGCAATATGTATTACAAGGGGGAAATCTGGTAAAGAACAGCATGGTCAAAGCTTCTCGGGTGAGCGATGTGGCCCATGGGCCTCTTGTTTGACTATGTTGCGACGCACTTTGAAAAATTACGCATTTTCTGTCAAAGTGAGCTAAAGGAGATGGGTGAACTTAGCAAGCAAAAAACCCACAAGCTTCAGATATATAAAAATCATATTCAAATTGTGTGATTTTAGTATTTAGAGTAAAGTTCTCATCATTGAATTTTGTAAAATCATGATAAACAAAGAGTTTTGCGAAAAAATTTTCGTTAAAATTTATTCTTTTATTAAAAAAATAATGTGGTATCCACTGGGTTCGAACCCTGGCAAAAAAATCCTGAGTTGCATTCTCTATTGAGACTAGCACGCTAACCACTACGCTACACAAGTCCTGATGAAGTGTGGCATTTAAATCATGTTTGTGATATGACCATTGACTTAAGGGACTTCAAGTATTTCTCGAAAAGATACGAAAGTTATGTCATAAACTTATATTTTTTAGGTATAGTGGGTCATTGCTCCATAATTTTGGAAACCAAAATATGTATGTTTTTATGTAAACTTTTAGGATTACCTTTCAAAAAAATGGAAAGAAGACCCACTCATAACGAAAAATAGTGTTATAGTGTGAAACAAGAGGCCCATGGGCCACATCGCTCACCTGAGCACCAAGGGTAGGACTAGTATAAAATGGCTTTTTATTGTAAAGTTTAAATCCAAAAGTAGTCCCATGACCAATCATGGATTTGCTATTTTTTAGAAAATGATTGAGAAGAAGATTTTTAAAGAATTTTTCTATATATTTCTATGTAAAACTTTGGTCGGCCATTTTGGCCCCGCCCTACCCCCGGGGGTCATGATTTGAACAAAATTGAATCCACACTACCTGAACATGCTTCCATATCAATATGATGAATAATGGCTTTGTCATTCTTGAGAAGAAGATTTTTAAAGAATTTTCCTATATATCTCTACGTAAAACCTTG